TAACAAAAAAACTTACAAATGTCTATTGTCTTTTCTGACTTTTAACGAATATACGTTGTTTCCGCGTGAATACTCGGCTAATTTTCATTGAAAATGCTATGTTAATTTAGATGTAGTATATGTCGTATCCGAGGCCCACGGACACAACGTACATATGTTATAGGTTATATACTACTATGTTACCTGACCTTTAACGTTTATATGTTGTGTCCGCGATCACAGATTGAATAAAGCGACCGATTAATTTTATAGAAAAACACGTGTTGCCATAGCGGCGCCGGTGGTGTAGTGGTAAGCGTTGGTCCCCGGTCCATGAGTTGGGTCGATAGATAGGGTCCAGGTGTGGGAGCTACCTCCTTGGCGTCGGTAGGATTGTACGGAAAGCAAGATCAACGGAATACAAATCAAGCAAAATGTATTTTTTTTAATGGAAATGCAAAAAAACACAAAAATAAAGGAATACTGAAGAAAAAATGATCAAATAGACCAATATTGAGTTTATTACTGTACTGCTTAAGTGCTTGCGTGTATAGATTCGAAGGCTAGTATTTCAACATCAAAGTATCACAAAAACGAAAACAGGAAGAAACATGGGTAATAAATCATCTAAAAAGTTATTTGTTATATTAGATAAATTTGTGATCTGATTCATGTTTAGTTCATCAATCTTTAGATTTGTTCCTATACTTTTCCTACTAAAACATATTACTTTGTATTTCAAAAATCGGGGATACTCGTATACAACGTACATTCGTTATAAGTCAGATAACGCAGTAGGGCCAACGTGAAAGATTTATATCCTGGGCGACTGCTAGCTTTTGCCTTGACCAGGGCCCAGGTCAGATTCATGTTGGCTTCGTTTATTTTTTCCCTTTATTTATAAGGCTGGTTCGCCTTGGGAACTCCAGTAGAGAGCCCCGAAAGCTACAGAGTTTGTATAATGACACCGTTAACATGAAATCATATTAGTACACAAATAAAGAACATATTAAAATTAGGAACTAGCGTGGTACATCTGAGTTAATTCGTTTGGATTTCCATTTGGATTGCGGTAAGTTGACACCAGGGTTGGGGGTTGGAACGTATCGTGGTACATATGCCAATAGTTGAAGCTAGTCATTGGGGGTTTCAAAGTCGAGTAATTCATATCATGCCGGTTTCCTTAAAAAAAAATTAACAGCGTAGCGGGGTCATCGGAGAGGACATCCAGGTTGCTTCCGGAGATATGGTAGCTTCTCCTGGTTCCTGTGTATTTGGGGCATGTGCAGACGAAGTGCTCGACGGTCTATGGGATGCGGCAGTGGTCGCAGATCCTCCGGAAGGGTCCGTCCCCCTTATAATTGTGGGGGACGTTAGTGTGGCCGGACCGGAGTCGCGATACAAACGACCTGCTCTAGGTGGAGGGGAGATCCTCCCACCTGCTGATATCCGCTTTAACTTTACGTATGAACAGCGTGCTTCCGGCGAGCAAGTCCTGACTCCAGTATTGGTCTATGGTCTTGGTGGCCCACTTCTTCAAATCCTGCCCGGGGACTTTCGGGGTGTATTTGACCATACGACGGCCTGACCTGGCGAGGTGATCGGCATCTTCATTTCCCTTGACACCGCATTGGGCAGTCAACTAAATGAATACAGTAAAGGTGGCGCGTGTATCCAGGGGTGCCTACTGGTTGCGGATTCAAGTGCTGCGACTACGCTGGCAGAGTCAGTGAATAGCGTGATTGGTCGGGCATCTGGGGTAGTGACTGCGATGAAGGCTGCGGCAGCCTCGGCGGAGAAGACCGAACATTCATCCGGGAGCCTATGACATACCCTTAGGTGGTCGCCGGAGTGCCTGTAAAGGCCCCGTCGCCATGAGCTCCTTGGTCTGCCTCTGCTGCGATGTGGCCGACCCACCTCTACGTACGTTCTCGAATTTCTGTTGATATCGGTATCTGATGACATCGATGATGGAGCTCAGCATTCGTGATCCAGTTGGTCAGACACGAATTATATACCGCAGGCATCGGTTGATGAAGGCCTGCAATTTTTTAGTGTTCTCCGCTGATACACACCACGTCTCATTGATGTATAACAACACAGATTTCAGAGATGAACTAGCCTTAGGCTAAAAATCTCTAAAATAAAGATTAAAAAAAAACAACAGAGATTTCACGTTTGAATTGAAAATTTGTATTTTGAAGCGTTGAATTATCTGGTTAGATCTCCATACATTTCGTAAACTTTCCAAACCAGCCCTAGAATTCTTAATTCGTGTACCTATGTCGCTAAAACTTTAGAGTTTCTTCACTGCTTGCCTCGCTACCGTAAAGTTGGAAGGGCTGCCCGTGTTGAGACCCAACGATTTGGTCTTGTTGACGTTGATAGTTGGCGTTAGCGTTGATTCCCGGTAAATCCTAGAAAAAAATTCGAGTTGAAAATGCTCTCGAATTCGCTAAGCTTAGAGTTTCCTTGTCTTTATCACACGTTCTACGAATGTATGCATTGGTTGACCACCCAATTGGGAAATGTAAGATATAATATTCTATTACAGAAATTGCATAAAAAGCATGCATTTCACAACATGAACAGATTATGTAATGTAAGACACTGGAGAAGTCTGCACATTGTAGACGAAATACGCGTGGGGTTTTTGATCTCATTTCCGTCCTACTAAGCACAACCCGGGCTTTACCTCTCTTTTTAGAACGGGATTGAACAAAAAATTGAATATTTCTGTCAAAGATGACTTCTAAATTTATTCACCTTTCCATACGTACCGTTGGATTTGATAAAGAGTCACAAATTGTTGGGATATTGATTAAAATCTTGTTTCGAGTTTCAATTCCGTCCTAACGCATTGAAACGCCATTAGATTTCCTTCGTCCTACGGATAAACGTAGAAAAAGGGGATTCGTAAGGAGCGCTACTTTTGTTATGAGAACAAAGAGCGTAAATATTCATACAATGCGCTCTAATGGGATTTATATTTTAGCAATGTAGCATCACAACAAACCTATTATTGATTTGTGCACGGTAAAATCATTGATATTATTGATCTTTTCTGATCGATAGAACGGGAATGGGCGATTACGATGAAGTAGCGCTCTATCCTATCTGTCAAGGATGAGCAAATAAGGTAGTGGAGTTAAATGTACACTTTGTACAGGTATTTCACCCACATTCATCAGGATTTATGTAATGTGATCGCCGGAATTAATTTTATAATTTATAGGTTAGCCAGATGTTGTAAAGAATGGTCTTAAACACGGTAAATCGCCTAAAAGCACCGACAAACCGACATGGATGTTCATAGCAAAAACAATAAAATTTCTACTGACACTACTGACATCTGGCTCCGTGTTCGCGGGAAATATATAGCTTAGCCATGAATCCACATGCAAAAGTTATGAATTGGTTCGTGTCTGATCTATTCTGGACAAATTATTTTTATCTAGATCAAAAAATCCTAAGGTTTTGACATTTCGAATCACTGCATTTAAATCGGCCGTTTACGATTCTCGGGCATAAGCCTTCAAAATGGATTTGTCAACGCCATCTGGTAACGGCAAAATTAACTTAAAATTACCACAAAGATCAAAAAATTGCAAGTCTGGCTATTGAAAGCGCAATAATAGCTCTTCAATTAAATGATTAAATTGCCTGAAAACACCAAATAAAAATGTTTTTAAAACTGCAAAACAGTCTGCAAATCACTTATAGAGCATTGATATTCTTGAATTATTATTTTGGAACATTTAGTATTTAAGGAAATTTATCAGAAACTGCTCAACCAACACCAAAACCCATCATGAATGATTCAATTTGATTCACTATAAGAAAAAAATATATTTTGCCATAAATTCAGAACAATTAAAAAAAAAAATTGAAAATCTGAAGTCCTTTGACCCAACTACGGGCAACCCGCGACCCACCGGTTTTTACGCTGAGAAGAAAAAAAGACGGCTAACGAATCTTGAATGTGGAGGGGCATGATGTAAGTACAAAACGGTCACTCTAAGGCCACCGAGCCCCTCATAGTTGTTGTAGACATTCAAACTCGGCTCCGACGAAAACGACGATAATTTTTCACAAAACCCTGCTCGTAGGGTTTGTCATAGCAATGTGACTATTAATCTCTTTAATATAAAGGGGCCTGGGTTTGAACCCACGGTTTTCTACTAGTAAGCAGAAATGGTTGACTGAGGCAGAATTATTATCAGAAGGCCATAAAGGATAGGTAAAGGTGAATTTTACCCGTGTGGAAATGGAATTAGTTTTAAAAGAATCTATACATACAGCTGTTAAGTTCTTGTGCACATAGCAATGCACATTATATCAAGCAGGTATAGCGCTTCATTTCATGCTCGAACAACTTACCTCCCAAAATACGTAATTACCAACGAAGTATGCAAAACACTTAAAGAACGAATCAAATGCTTAAAATTTAAAATAATTGAATACGCTGATCATTATGAGTTTTTGTTCAATCCAGCCATTAAAATAACAACGAGTTACAATGTTGGAATACTTTTCAAAACAACGTTTAATATCTTGATTAAACAAGCTGGCGAGATACTCAAACTACTGAATACTATGACCTAGGTTGAGGAAGCGTTAAGCGAATCATCGTAAAACGTAGATGAAGGTACTTTTGACAATCTTATCGTAAAGGGAAAAAATCGAAAAAAAAGGTTCATGGAGCTCCAGTTTTAATGAATTCGATGATGCCTTGATTCCAGAAAAGTATGTGAAATGAGTTCACATACTTAGAAAGTGTAATCCCTCCCTCTAATCAAAGGAAGTATTTTAATATGCTTTTCGAAGCCGAAAACAGCTCTCAAATGAACAAAATAAAGAATGGGATCATTATGACAGTTGTTGGCCAGGCCTGCGGTGCACGCTAGTAGATGGAACTGCTTTCGGATAACTTTTGAACAAATTGTATGTAGATGGCCGTTTGCCGCTAAGGGATGTCATCAGTTTTAATTATATTCACATCATTACATCTTACAATATGAATATTTAAAATTTATTTATCAGAGAGCAAAACTACACATGCAGCTTAACGTTGATTTGTGGGATAAAGTTAAAAGAAAGTGCACCTTGAAGTTTAGACGCCATTAGCTCTGTTGTCTCATTGATTTTTTTCACAGCACATGTCGTGTTTTGCAATACCACCTAAAAATAATCATTTGTTTAGTTTCTAATACAATACAAGATGCTGTTTTCATTTATCGATTAATTTAAACTCATATATAAATAATATTTTTGTAACATTCACACACTCAAAACACTATTTACATTGAAGCGCAACATTTGATGTAACTACATTTCTCACCTGAGATTTCATCAATAAATTATCGGTTTCATCCAATTGCTTCGAGACGGAAACAGCCGCCGTGTGGATGAACTCGTTCAAAAGAGAAACGCATCGCTCATCTGCAATTACAATTTCATGTTTTTTTTATTTTTCTTTTATACTGCTTTTTGCTGTTGCTGCCAAAAAGTCAAGGAACAGCAGCATTAGGATCGTTTGCCGAAAAATTTCTCCAAGATGAATGAGATAATAATGTTTGAAATGCGATTCACTGAGTGCAATCAAAGTAGACACAAATTGAACACTTACTGATTATTCGACGCAGTCGCCATCGTTCAAGATGTTCCTCAGATACAGTAGACTGATCGGTAGCTTCTTCGCCATATGCCAACAGCTGCTGACACTGAGAAGAGACAGTTGTGTTGATGCTAATTGGTGGTGGATCATCCGGGCCACCATTTATGGGTATTATCTGTTAAATATAAGAGAACGGAGATAAAAAGAGTGCCAAGACCTTCCAAGTAGCATATCTTCGCCACGAAAATTGAAGCAACTTGATTGTGACCGCCATAAGTGGCATAAGGGTTTGCTACAACCGTTTTGTCACAAGTGTGCTGCTATAGCTGTTTTAATGCGGTTAAGCATGGGGTGTCTCTCGGTCAACGTGCAGTGGCGCTGCCAGAATTTCTGTCTGAGATAGGGGGAGGGGGTGTTCTCTAGTTTTAAACTCTACTGCTATTTTATAAGTGTTTCCTATCACTTACGCCCAGTGAAACAATTCCCGCTAATTTTATCAAAATTTATTTTTAAACAGCGTGGTAAATATACATTTTCACGGACCAGGATACCCTTCCCGGGAAATATTATCTATGTAGATCTATCAATAAATCAAGATACATTTCTAGTGAATGTGAATGAGATGACTCTAAACGAGCATCATCAAATTGTTGTTCTATTTTGTGCATAGTTGGTACACGCTAAAAACATTATCTTACATCCAATGTAAAGTTGGATTTATTACATCCTCTGCATATGTTTCATACAAAAAATGTAATGGCATTTCTTGCAATGGACTGCAGCGTACAAGCAAGTTTTCCAGAATGAATATGCACCAGATGATTATCTAGATGCAATGCATTTGTGCAAACAAACTTTGTTAGAAAATTAAACTAACATAAACATTACGAAGCTATTCAAAATACCTTCAGGCGATTACATTACAGAATCTGTTCATATAGCGAAATATTTCAAAATCTGCATACTTTTAATGCAAATCTGTTATAGAATCTTACATTTCCCGGTTGGATGTAGTGATGAAAACCCAACCCTTTTTTTACGCGGTCTAATTTTCCTTTTCTGACGTTCAACTAAAACCAAGCTTGATGCAACAGTTGTCAAAAAATCAGAAAAAAAAATCATAGAAAAATATCGCACCCATGATACGATAATTTCCACAGCTTTTCTTTTCTTTTGGATTTTCTTAAATGGTGAAAACTTTCATGAGAAATTTGTTTCCAATTGTATGTTTTATCAATTGTAGACAGTTTCGAGTAATTTTTGCTAATTGACTTTGACTGTGCAATGCTTGGTTCCAAAATTAAGATTTTTTAAAGTTAGTTGTGTCCAAGAAAATCGGAAAATTTTAGCTAAGGTAAAATTGGCAGCCCTGTTTTATTTTGAAATTTACTTTTGTTTATATATCCATGAACTCTACCTATGGGCGAAGCTTCATAAAAATCGAAGACCCTTCGGCGCAAACCTGTACGGTAATTAAATAAAATCCCCACATGTCAAAATTGGAACAATCGATTATCTGTCAAAGTCATAGGAAAAGTTATTCCAATCGAGTAGAAGACCTTTCAAATGGATAAGATGTCGCCTCTTTATCCGATTCAGTCTCTTTTGTCTAGCCAAGCTTGTTCTCTTGTCATGAAAATTTGTGCAATTTAAAACAAATCAAAATAGGCGTAGCAAAATAGTCTGTTTTGCTTTGAGAGTGTAGTGATTGTTTGAGATTGTCCAGTGTGCAGTGAGAAAATATACTTTTCTCTTCTGTATTTTATTATGCCTCTAAATATTTTGTCAAAAAAACTTGTTTAATGGTACCTTTCAATATTGATTTGTATAAATTCAATGAATGAATTTAAAAAACGATGTCCCATTGAATAAGATAGCTGGAAACGACAGTTTTTTATAAATTACTTTACGCAAGATTGCAATACCGTCTTGTGTATTCTCGTTTGACTATACAAATGAATAATTCTCTCAAAAATCACAAATAATAACGAGTATTCCTTCTTTAATGAAACCTATTTATATTTCAAAAACTAAGATTTATTAGTTTGTATCTAATCATGAGTTAATAGGTTTTTCAACTTCTCGTTTAAATATGCTATAAATTCATCGACTGGTTTCAATCGAGGTTTCAATAGTGTTTCTAAATTACATCTATCAATATTAATCCATCGTTCAAAAGATATCTCAGACAAGTAATGCAGCTTATGACATGCTGTTAGCGACATCATCAAATCTTACCAATGATGGAGAACTGGAAGCAGAAAGTAAAAACGGCAATTCATGCTGTGTTTCCTTCATTGAATATATTCACTCGTTGCATGAAAACAGTTCGTCCAATCTTCTTGATGTCAAAAGGTAATTTGTAAGGCATTTTTTGGGTGTTAAACCTAGCGGCAAGTGGAAGAGGTTGTCTCATGTAAATCATATGATGAAAAGTGGTCATTTGACAATACCAACGCTTGGGCAACAAATAACTCAACCCACTCAAATGCTAAGGGACTCCATTAAGGTTCGACGAAAGTAAAAATATTAAATTTAGGATTTTTTTATCTCTTTAGGGAAAACTCCTGTTAAAAAAATATTCAACGAGATTTCAAAGACATTCCGGGACTTTTCCTGGATCACTGCTCATCAACTCGCGCACCCTCTTTTCGTCCACCCTTTTGGTAATGCTAATCAACAGTAGTGTCATCTGACTGCTGTTTTCAATCACTTTATTCATTAGGAGACGGCCACGCCTCTTACGCAAAAGTCGTGCTCAAGTTCAAATCTCATCCCCGGACAGGTCATAAAAGAGTGTTTAAGTGACTTTATTAAAAAAAAACTCTATTTAGACTTTAGCCTGTGCGATAACTGGTATCTTTTTCGAAAACCAGCACAACTGATCATAGCCGTGATACCTATGAGTAGATAACAAAGACGATTCCTACGGAGGCGTTCAAAGACGGGAAAGTGACAAGAATTTAAAATAAGAAGAGTAGCTGAAAATTATATCGCGCTTTGGGACACCTGATTTCCCTAATTTAGACCACATTCAATGTATATTTTTAATTTTTCAAAGAAGTGAATTCATTCTTTTTTTTATTTTTATTTTTACCTCAACTACTCTGGGTAGTTCGTGACATGTACGGATGAAATAAGAACTAACCACTACACACAGTGGTGCCAGGGGTATCAAAGCACGAGGATTATTATTTGCGCTGAAATGGTAGATTGTAGGAGTTGATTGTCATCAGCAATATTTCTTGGTATGAAAAACTCCTACTTGTGATAAGCAGTGTGGCGATTAACCCCCATAAAAGTAAGTTGAGATTTTTTTTGTAAGATACGAGCTAGAGCCTTGCAATGTTCTGCAAAGTTGTGTTCAGATTCCAGATTGTTGACATTTATTTCATTTAAATTCATATGTTATTATCTTCAGTAAGTGTTGGTCTATTTATGTTGTGTATATTTATGTAAAAAAAAATCGTATGAAGTAATAATTGTGATTGTGTAGTATAGAAGGGGGTAAAGGGCCAGGTCTCCGATACTTTTATGCACCGTACATGCCATACCAGTAGACAGAAGGAGGCATCACACCATCTTTACCAGCAGGTTAAATAAATTCTGTGAAATCCACGAATGTGAAACAGGGTGAGCCATAGTGACATCACCATCACATCCCGACGGGGATTGAATCCACGCCCTTTGAGGTGATATGCAATCACGCTTACCAATACCACGGGTGCCGCTATTAAGTGCGGGTTGAGCATAGTCTGACGAAAATAGCTCTTAACCCTATTGACGGGTTAACTTGAAATCAATGTAATAAAACGCCTAAATGTATACTCTCTCCTACTTTTGTATAGGAATTTATGATTATGTGCTAAATCTAAATAAGCGAAAATACTTTTTACTCAATACTTTGACGTGAATTCGTTTTTCTAAGAGGGGGAGAGGTAGCTCATCGATTCTTCCGGTTCGCCTCCTAGCATCGTGTTATAAGGTACCAGGCGATAACCAGGGTAGTTGATCGATAGCTCGATGACGTCATTTCGTTGGCGTCTGCAATGGGAAATTCTCATAGCAGGCGTTGACGATGGGACGTTGTCGAGTTGTTGAATAGCAACTATCGTGGTAACTCACCGATTACCTGTCGATCTGCCAAATTTGGAAAGACGTCTGCATTGAATTGTCTCATATAATAATATTCCGCCCACTATATCACAAGAAATTGCGAGTAGCTGAGTGGAATGGAGATAAGTTAAGCATTGGGTACAGGACCAAGTCTCCCCTGGGTGGTGCCAAAAGATGAGCGCAATAGAATCATCAAGTTGCCATAAGGCACGGAAATAGACTATTGCATGGCTGGGTAGTCAAAGTCTTCCATTCGTTAGTCATTTCAGGTGGATTAGAACAGGTTTAGGTTTAGGGTGGGCGTTGGCCAGATTAGGATTTTTCAGATGTAATCCTGGATAGGACCCTGTCATTGAACGTCGCGTGAAAGTAGAATCTAATGAAGGCCTAAGTACTTTTTCATAGTTTTTAGTTTTCGGATTTGAAAGATCGTCGGTTACAGTGGCCTGCTTACTGAGCAGAAAAACGCGGTCCCAGGCCCTTACATATCAAAAAGATTTATGGTAAAATCGCTTGTGTATCGTGTATTTTGCGAAACTCGTTGTTGTCGTTGGTTCCGGGTTTGAATGGATTCACAAATTTGAGCAACGGTATTATGTGATATGAGGGGCTCGGTGGCCTTAGAGCAACCGTTTTTGCTCACTGAGCAGAACATCATGAGTCTAATCTTAGGCCCATCCACATTCAAGATTCGTCAATCGTTTTATTTGTTAATATGACTACATGGTAATAACAGCAACTCGGTGATTAAAAAGGTGCTCGTCTACCAAGTGGCAAACGTTTTTGCTTATTGAGCAGAAGACCGTGGGTTTAGTCCCAAGCTCCTTCGCGTTATATGATCGTTAGGACATCAATTCAGCTTATCGTTTACCAAAACGAACCCTGCTGCAAACCCAACCCTCTTATCCAACATCCCAGTGATTCCTCGTGGAAGTGCAGAGGTGTTCTCGGCTTCCATCAAAGCGAGTGTCATGTCAACACAATCCTTCCCATTCCTTTCTTGACCTGTATTCGGGCGCGGCCGGCACTGGTATTGCCTAATTTAAGATCACTAGTTTTTACACATTGAGGATGATTGCTAGTCCCAAGCATCGTCTATTGGTTCTCTGTGTAATTACAGCTGATCTGGCAGTAACAGAGTAGCAACCGTGGGCGGTCAATCAAGCTCAAGCAAGCTCAAGCTCAATACTTTGACGTGAAGTCGTTTTTCTAAGAACTACTATCAAGAGCCACATGTGAAAAGGGCATAAAAGCTTTTTGTAAACAAACTTTGTAGGCCATTTTGTCGCCAAACGAGAGTCGCCCATGTAAACCAACAACATCATCAGGAAGGGGAATGCTTCCGCTACCCGGTGATGTTGATGGTTTGCGTTTGTGTCATATAAGTGACGAGAAAATGGCATAAGAAGGTTTGTTTACAATAAGCTTGTATGCCCCTTTCACATGTTGTTCTTGTTATGCAGTTTTTCGTCACAGAATTCCAATGTAAGAGTATTATGGTTTTGTCCATGATGGGTGGATTATTTTTTATCTCCTCTAATTTTAACAGAGATTTCCCACTTTCCTTTTTAATGTTTATGTTATGTTTATGTTAATGTTTAACTTGATTTCAGTGACATAAAAAAATAGAGATGAACTTGCCTTTGGCTAAAAAAAAAGATGACATCAAATTGTAAATCCAAGCCATGTCAAGTAATCAAACCCTGTGATCCCACTTACCCTATATCCTAGGGAAAGTGGGAAAAACTACCATTTATCACAATGTAAGCCATTCTGCGTTTTTATTTTATCTGCCTTCTGTTTAGGGACATGATTTAATTATCACAATTTAGGTGTAGTAGGCTTTAAAAAAACTTATGATTTTTTAGAATCTACTTCCCCAGTGTATCTTACTCTCGGTATCCACCAGTTTGCCTATAAGTTTCCTATTATGCTGTGTTCTAATTATAAACTATGAGAATTCCATAGACCTTTTTTTTCCTCTGTTCGGGACATAAAACCACTGTGACCAATAATTTGATCTATTACAGTAGTTCCTGCGTCCTTCGTTTAGTGCATGTCGTATTACTCCATCACTTTTGAGAAATGATGGAGTATTTGGTTTTGATCTTGCCTTCATCGCAAGGAATCGACTCTAATGTAGTTGTAAAATTTACGTTTATTTGCTGTTTTTTTTTTCAACATTTGGTTTAAATATTTCAATTGGATAGTCTTTGGCTCTTCATCTTTGTTCTAGTTAATTGGTTATTCTAATGAAAGACCCCGCTATTTATACCCTTCAAAGAGTGAGAGCACCCTTTGTCAGTCAAAATTGGATTCCATAGCAACAAAATTAAGCAATGAAACCGATAATGACCCTAGAACCCTAGTCATAACCACTTCAAAATAGCGAACAACAAATAGAAGATTAGAATTCACATAGATGAACACTAACTCACTTTTTCATTGTTTTAAGATCATCCTCGGTCCAGGAAACCCGAGGACTTATCACTATTATCAAGACATAAAAAGTAACAAGGACTAAGATGTGTTCCTTTGATTACTGACAAATCATTTTCCACTAGTTTGAAGTAAAACTACTTTTTCCCAGGACTAGGAATCGATCTTATATCCCATAACGTACCACGTTACGGGGCTAGGTCATGATTAGAACACATCATAATAGGAAAACGTATACTCGTAACTGCCCAAGCAACCATCAATCCCTTTAATAGCCCGGTAAAAGCTTTTTCTGTAATATAAGGTGTCTTAAAGTTTTTTTTTTTTTATATCAGCCTTATATTGCACTTTTTGCATTAGTGAGCTTAATGGTTACTTGAGTGATACGAGACGTTTCTGATTCAACTCATGTATGAACTTTGGCATTTACATTACAATTGTAAGAAGCAACATCAATATTATAAAGATCTGTCAGGCAAACTGGCTCTTGTCGTTTCGTAACATGGTCAATATCCTTAATAATATTGGTGTACGTAAATGGATTCACTTAGAGCGCTGCTTTTGTTTTCTAGAAGAATTTATGAAAATATTCATATTATGCGTTCTATTTTGCTTTGTAACTTTTGAGCAAAACCATCGGACACCTATGATTGTTTTGATTGTTTCGATAACGTCAAAATATTGATATATTTGATACTTCTGCTCGATATGATAGAAATGAGCGCTACTTCGGCATTAGTTATCCACCCAAACACGAAAATTAACTAAATTTCAGTTTTGAATGTGCTCATACCATACAAAGTACTGTAAAATAATCTAAATGCGTCCATTTTATAACGCATATAATATATATTTAGTTCAAATACTTTTTCAAAGCTTCTATCGTGATCTCACTTACCCCAAGGTTGCGAATTACATGGGGTAGGTGAAACATGTTTTTATAACCTAACCTTTTCCATCGAAAATAGGTGAAATGATTTATCCTGATTATCATAGGATTATTTTTACAAATATTGCCTTGTTGTCTTATTTCTACATATAAAAGAAATATAAAAGATTGATTTTTTTATTATATTAGAAATGATAACTTTATACAATATAACTCAATACTATTGAGGGCTATAGCTCGAATTTCTTCCAAGTTGTTTAGCATTAGGATAGTATTCAACACAAATTTTCACATTCTAGTGGAAATCAGATAAAATGTATTAGATTACTATCACACAAGCCTATGTTCCCACTTACCCCCAAATCCCACTTTCTCCAGTGTATCTAATGTTTTTTTTAAACAACTATGTTGATCTATCAATGACATGTTGAGCCCACTGTTAAACACAGTTAAACAGGTAGAGGCATAATTCTTCTATTATTTGGTATGCTAGATTGTTCTTTTATTCACGAGAAATCGGTGATTAGCTTTAAGAGTGAAATGGGAATAAAAACCCTATAACGTATTATAATTGTGATAAATGAAAGCTTAGAATAGGATAAATCCTGACTGTAGTTAGTAATTACATTTGTACTTTTAGCTCTCACCTTACCACACATGTCTTCTCCATCATCGTCTGTTTCGGAAGCTTCTCCACAAACGATATTTGGTAACTTTTTGTCCATATTTGCGCAAAATAAATAAAATTTCACTCAGAAAATTGACAACGATCAGATGACTGTTATTTATCAATTTAAGTTTGTCTGATTGTTATGGTTCCTTTCCAATGCATGTGTCAAATTTTATGTGCACTGTTATATGAATGTCTCCATTAATTGATATAATTTCTCACACTAAAGTTAAAACTAACCATTGATGTTTACAAAGCTACCCGTTTGTTCATGTTACAAGATAAAATATTTAATTTTCATACAATAGTCTGGTACAGTCTACTGAAGTGACTTTTAGCACCGATGAACCGACGTGACAGCTCATAGAAGCTATATTCCAATTCTTGTCTAAGAAGTCATTTTTAAAATAAGTTAAACACTACCGCCATCTAGTCATCCGATCGCGTCATAACATGAGCAAGGAGACAAACACACGTAAAGTTTATATTGACTTGTTTTTCATCTAATCTTGTTTGGCAGATCTGGTCGCCCGTTTGATAGATCGAATCGCTCATTTAACAAATCGAATTGCGGACAAACGAAATGCTCCAGTGGCCGTCGGTTCGTCGGTGCTTTTTGTTCATTTATTTCAACATATGGCCAGGGAGAACGACACATCCTTATAGCACATCTGTTTTATCCTCAAATTCACATTCTCATCCACATCAACGAAAAAAATTCCAGAAAATCTTGTATCTATTCTAAACCTCCTTTTTGCATATGTATGCATCCCTGCCTTTTTTTGCAAGATATCCACAACATCCCTGTTTATCCTTCTATTCCGGTATATTTGCTCATTCCGCACTCTGAAACAAGTTTTCATATAGTTTCTATTGAGAACGCACATAACATTTTCCAATAACAAAATCAATGATATTGATCTGAAAATCACAAAACATAATAAATTTTATGTCAGTAAGTTTCATGCGATTTTGTGATGCAATTTAAAATTATCTGATAACATGAAAAATATGTGAAATTTAAAAAGGATACAGTTATGTGATTTATTTTATGAGTGCAGGCTCGTATAGACCACTCGCTAACTTGTAAGTACCCATTATTGAGAAAAATTTCACCTACTTTGAAGAAAAGTGACATAACTCATTAATGTGTAATTTGTTTACCAATTTATTGAGTAACTGTTCCCCATTATTGATATTTAATGGGTAACAGTTACTCATTAACGGGTACCAGATACTAATTAAATTGGTAAAAAAAAGAATACCCGCTAATTAGTTAAGCAACTTTTCATCAAAACCAAGTGATTTTTTTTTGTACTTTCAAATTAGCATGCATTGTGTGAAATCTAACCTAAATCACCTCGTCCCCTTTCTTTACTCGTGAATTTTGACAGTTCTGCCGGGTTTGTTTTTTGGACACCCGTTCATTACTATCGCTTTTACTGTGATGGCAAAAAGTGAAGTTAGCATTTGCGTGCATTTTTTTTTAGAACTTGATTAATGTGATTAAGTTCAACCGTACACACCAAACTTCTAGGCAAGATTTTTTTTTTCGCTGCATTCGTTCTGTAAAATATAATTCATACCGAAATCTTTGTAAAATATATTGTTTTACCAATTTTCCGCAATCAGAAATGCTGAATTTCCGTGATTTACAGAAATTTACCGTAAACTGTAATTAAAAATCACTGATCTAAACTGTAAATGGCTGAAAATCCGCAATACTGTCCGCAAATTGCGACAAATGAACTACTGCAGTTAAGTACTATTTTTTTTTTTTTTTGTAAAAATTACTGAACAGATTTGTTAACTTCATAATGTAAAACCCAACTTTTGCTGCCGTGTCTATGTTGAAATTTCTTCTATTCTCCGTTTTTAAACGGAGAATGTCGGCCTAAATGCTCCTAATTTGGGCCCATACATAAATTCAGCAATCGATTAAATTTTCAATGGTGACCAAAAATATTGATTAGTATCGTCGCAATAATACGTGCATCTAGATAAAATTGATAAATAGAAGATGTTTAGCGATGGGCCCAATCTTAGATCCATAGGCCAACATTAGAGCCCTTTCCCCTACTTCACTTTTTTGCTACAATACGTTCGCTGAAAGTATTTTTTTTTATTCGTGGCCAATTGCTTTCAGGTGCCATTGACATTAATCTCGGCATTATGCGACCTAATGTCCTCCTCAAACGGAAAAAGCAATTTTTTTATGCGGTGTACTGACACTGTGTCCTCTGTCGGGTTCTAATTTTCCATTAAATGCGCCTACCTGATTTTCTTATCGTCCACATTCATCAGGATACAAAAATAAAGGTTAAATTAATCAAATTATTCTTTTGGTTTGTTTAAAGAAAGAAATAGTTAAATAATCAATCTAGTAATCAATTAAAATCCTGGGTATTCGAAAAAAAGCGTCAAGTCCCCTCATTCATTAATGTATGGATTAGGTAAAGGAGTGACCGTTTGACTAGTATTGTCGCATTAAACTCCTTTCGCTCAATTTCAACTACTATTAAATTTTCACAGTGCCGTACTCTAGTGGAACTATCAACCTATCCTATTCAGAACTTTCTCTAGTTAATAAATTATCAGACATTAAATAAAGATAATAATAAGAAGAAGCAAAATCACTATTCCCCCAAAACATGTCTGCACCTTACTTCCAGGAGCAAAATCATGCAATTTTCAAGCACAACTAATGGTTCAGAAGATTCAAGAGAACCATCTCTTGTTGAACCAAACATCGTCATCATCAGCGCTGCACTCGCAATTGCACTCGCTTTCAGCAACACAAATCGTCAAAATTACCATGACCATCATAAGAATCAACAGCAGAAAGATCAACCACTATGGATCTGGCGAATATTAAAAGTATGCCAACCTAATAACTGAACGTGACAAACAGTGGCTGCTCAATTGTCTACATTTTCAGGGATTGAAAACACGATTCTGATATAATAAAAAATTAGGTTTCAAGGCAACAAAAAACGTAAAAAATACTTCATTTGGATCCAAGCAAGCATTTTGTTTGAAACAATAATAACCCACGTTCAATTGGGTTCTTTAAGGGTATTGGGTTCTTTATTTTTTTTAATGTGTCGGTTTTGAAACATCACCTGAAAGAGCTTTGTTTTCTGAACACCGTGATATTTTTTTCGAAAACATACACTTTCATCTCGTTTTTTAAATCAATATTTAAAGCAAAATAATAGCTTCACTGTTTGACACTAAACTAACAAACTGACAGCTCGCTCCCATGCAAAGTGCCACCGAGGGGCCCTAAGGTGGTGATTTTTGCAAATGTAATCGTACTTATTTAAAATAGTTCCAGTGAACCAAAATTGGGTTGTTTAAGGGTATTGAGGTAAATGCATATTCGTAATCTGCATTAAAAATGGAACCCAATGCCAAAATTTCATCAATTTTGGTACACTGGAACTATTTTAAATAAGTACGATTTCATTAGCAAAAATCACCTTATTAGCGCCCCTCGGTGTCACTTTGTATGGGAACGAGCTGTCAGTTTGTCAGTTTAGTGCCAAACGGTGAGGTTATTATTTTGCGTTAAATCTTGATTTAAAAATCGAGATGAAAGTGTGTGGGTTCGAAAAAAATATCGCTGTGCTCAGAAAACGAAGCTCTTTCAGGTGATATATAAAAACCGATATATTTTTCAAAATTAAAGAACCCAATTGATGAAATTTTAGATTTGGGTTCTTCTTCGGAGATGAACTAGCCATAGGCTAAAAATCTCCTAAATAAAGAACTAAAAAAAAAAAGATTTGGTTTCTATTTTTAATGCAGATTACGAATATGCATTTACCTCAATACCCTTAAAGAACCCAATTGATATTCGTAATCTGCATTAAAAGTGGAACCTAAACCCAAAATTTCATAAATTTTGGTACAATGGAACTATTTTAAATATGTACGATTACATTTGCAAAAATCACCTTATTAGCGCCCCTCGGTGTCACTTTATATTGGAGCGAGCTGTCAGTTAGTTAGTGTCAAACAGTGAAGATATTATTTTGTTTGCAATCTTGATTTAAAAATCAAGATGAAAGTGTGTGGGTTCGAAAAAAAATATCACTTTATTCAGAAAACGAAGCTCTTTCAGATAATGTATTAAAACCGATACATTTTTCAAAATTAAAGAACCAAATTAAATAAAGTTAGTTGAATTATTTCAACTCAATGCTTTTGTTGAATTACTCTATCAATTTTATTGATCCATATTCCAATCAAAATTTAGCTTAAGTGAAACGAACTTTATTTGATTCAACTATGCTTTTTTCTGCGTGTTCTTGATACAAATACAAATTATAATTTTAGTATCTTATAACATCATAATTCCGAAAAAATATAATTGTATGCAAAATTTACAAGGATTTTTCATTTCTCAATTTAATTCTTAAGAAACATGCAATTAGAATAATAAATATGTATTTATACTAGAATATATATAATTTTTAATATGAAGCCATGCAATTATCAATTATTTCAGTAAGGTGGAGGTTGGTGCGAGTACTGCTGACCCATCATGTTGCCCTGATTTGGCATTTGACGTTGTAGTTGTGCAACCAGATTAGGCGTTTGTTGCTGACTCATACCTTGCCCCTGATTTTGCACCATTCCTTGGGTATTGCCTTGTTGAGCCATTCCTAAAAAAAAAAATGTGCTGTTTAAACGAAATATTGATTGTATTTAAAATACTACCTTGTTGCTGTTGCATCATCATTTGCTGTCGCAGTCTTTGTTGTTGGAACTGCTGCTGATTTTGTGCAGCTGCTGTGCCTGCATTACCACCCTGTCTCGGATATGGCGGAACTGCTCCTTGATTGACCATGTTATTCATAGTGACATTTGGGGCATGCTGCCCATATTGTCCACCCCGCGCAGCAAGTGCTCTTTGTTGAGCCATGTATTCGGCTTGAGTATTTCTTTGCTGGCTCATTTGATTAAAGTTACTCATCATACCCTGGCCACTTTGTTGTCCTATACCCTGATTGCCATAGTTCGGGTAATTTTGATAAGGTCCTCCTTGTCCTTGAAACATTCCAGCTTGCATTCCACTTTGCTGCATATTCGGCATTCCCATCATACCTGTATTACCCAATGTGCCTGTGCTTGAAGTACCTTGACCTTGTCCTAACATTCCCGTGTTTACCAGACTGGAATTCATTCCCTGGTTCACCATACCAGGATTCATGTTACTAGATTGTTGAATATTTTGGATTCCCATCATACTCGGGTTACCCATCCCACTGGTACTCGTATTTCCAGTGCCTTGTCCCATCAATGCATTTCCTCCCATTGCAGCGTTTCCCAATCCTTGATTGACCATACCTGATCCTTGCTGAGTAAGTATATTTGTTTGAATCATGCTTCCACCTGATCCCATCATCGTTCCACCAGCCGTAGCTGTCATTCCAGCACCTACCATTTGATTTGGGATTCCAGGTCGTATTGGTCCACGCATAAATGGCTGTTGTGGATTACGTTGACTTTGTTGCATGTATCCAGCTGTCCCAGGGTTTACACCCCGCGCTCGTAACATATTCGATAGAACCTGCTTGGGATTAGTATTTAACTGTGGCCTATCAAATCTATTCAACCCTGGTGCCATAGCTTGGTTGTAGAACATTTGCTGCTGTTGCTGTTGTTGCTGTTGTTGCTGTGTTTGTTGCTGCATAGGATTATAACCACCCCATTGCTGATTACTTGCGGCTGCATTCTGATTACCCATCGGGTTATTCATAGAATTAACGCCACCCGAACCAGCTCCAACAAATCCCATTTGATTGGGACCAGCTTGTTGCTGCTGGGGACCCATCATGCCAGTCATCCCAGTATGACCTACTTGACCAAGAGTTTGCTGTTGAGCTATCAGTTGGTTTTGGTTTTGCTGTTGATATTGTTGTTGCATATGTTGTGAATTCATTTGATTCATATGACCACCCATTTGAATTTGGGCAAGATTAGCATTTTGAAGCTGTTGCATCGTTTGCTGTGGAGTCATAGCGATTTGTTGCTGCTGTTGCTGCTGCTGTCCTTGATTAGATTGTTGCTGTCCAACAATCATTCCTGGTTGCTGTCCGATTTGTGTTTGACCAGGTAGTCCTTGTGCTTGACCTAATTGTTGTTGATTTTGTGGCGTTGTAGTTCCTTTTTGCTTTCGTTTCCGGGCTTGAGATTTGCCCTTTTTACCGGTTGGATTAGGAGATTGATCTGAGGTGGGTGTATCAGCTTTCATATCGTCTTTAACTTTATCCTGTAGAGGTTCTAAGTCTTCTGGTGGTAAAGGCAGTGGTTCATAGAAATAGCTGCTAGGTTTTACCAAACTATGAGTGTGATACTTCAAAAGCCGATGCGTCTCCTCGTATGCCAAAGGTTTTCGTTCTATTTTTACTGCTCCAAACCAAGCCCAGGATAGAGGAGCAGGATTTTTATGACCTTCTAATAGATCCCAAACGCTTACTCTCTGCTTGTCTGACAATCGCAAACCCTAAAAGTGGAACAATTTTATAAGGAACGATTATTCAAATTATTCGAACAAATTTTGACTGTATTTAACTTACGTGCTTCTTTTCGATACTATCAATGTTGATCTTATTTCCTTTTGCATCAATAGAACTTCCAGCAGGCTCACAAGCTATCACTTCACATGTCTGTTTTGCAAGAGGAAGTAGCTGCCGCACATACTTGATTGAAGGATTGTTTTTGTCACCCAGCTCCTTTCTTAATTTTTTCATCAAGTTAGTATACTGTTTTTTAGTTTCATCCCGCTCTGATTGACTATCAGAAACGAGTGTCGAGTGAATCAGAGTGGCAAGCATATCTAAAGTTGTTGTAAATAGCTCCCTGAAATTACAATATTTTATTTGCTTATGCTTCCAGCATTTACTTGTAAATCTCAAAGCAAGATTGATTAATATTCACTTACGAATTGTTGCTCAAATCGATCACTCCTTGACTTATAAGTTGCGCAAAAAGTATGGCCCAGTCACTGGTGGAAGTCGAGTTCTTTTGAATTGCATCAAATAAACCCCCTACCAGAGAATATCGTAGCTGTAGGGCGTCTAACATTTTTTCAAAACCAAGTGGATCCTCTATTCCACCAACCGTTTCCAACTAAAAATATAGAAAAAAAAAATACATTTTTATTAAACTAATAATTTAATTAAACTAACTACTTACATCTCGATTCTGCTGAAACTGTGATAGCTGTGAGTATAGACTTTGCAGTAAACCTTCTTTTTGCTCGTCTTGACCTTTTAAGCAAGTAAGTACCAAACCTAAAAAGGGCTGATGATTCAACTGTGAGCTTTGTTTTCCCACCATTACGCTTCCGTTTGAACTGATTGAACTGTTGCTGTTGCCACCTTGACTGTGCAAGCCATTATTATTATTCCCGGAACTACTATCTTTTGATTTGCTGAACATATTAGTACTTTCTAGTACTTGTCCAGCAACCTTCAAAATTCTTCCTTGTACTGCACTTGGAAGTTTAGCTACTAAAGGAGCTACCAACCAAATTGATGGCTTAGTCTTTTCATTTTTTACATTATTTGTGAATGATCCCATGAAATTACATTCATAAACTTGGAAAACATCGATCGCCGCTCTTGCAACAATGTCTAGCCAGTTAGATAGCTCAGGTGAACTGCAATTGGTTTGCTTAAACATAAGTTGTAAGTCAAGCCATGAAATCCGCAACGACCACTGCTCAAGGTTTTCGAGAATTCGAACGATAATAGCTTTTTGGTCCATTTCCGCAATCAAGCTCGATTCATTCTCAGGGTAGCAGATCATATGCAATAATCTTTGTGCTTGCTTTGCAGTCAACATGTTGTCTATCAGCATTCCTTGTTGGCACAGTTCTTCAGCATTTTGAAGACATCGCTCTAAGACCCACTCTTGAGAGCATATTTGACGCAGAACATGCTGAGCAAATTCCGATAAACTTGTTGTTGTTGTATCTTGGTTGGTGCTGTTTTGCCTGTCGAGTAGAAACATAAAAAGAATATTATAAAATATGTTCAGTTAAAATCAATTGAAGTGATCTGGATAAGGAGAGTGGGACTGCAGAATTTGTTATAAAAAAAATTCGTGTATATAGGATGAATTCTATTTTCAAACCTTTCTATTTTAGAAAATCGCGTTTTTTATTATTATAGTCACTTCAACAACATTCTTGACTTATTCGTGACTGGGGATGATATTATGACCTCGTTGGCGTGAGAAGTATGGATGTTAACATATGGTTTAATCGGTAGCCCCGTAATCAAAAGAACACATCTTAGCCCTTGTTACTTTGTATGCCTTGTTGATAGTGACAAGACTCGGCTTTGTCCACCAAGGATGATCTTGAATCAAGGGAAAAATTAGTTAATCTTTATCTATTTGATTCCTAATCTTCTACCTAGGGAACAAAGGTTGAAGTTGTTAAGACTAGGGTTCTGATGCATGGTCATTATCGGTATCATTCCTTAATTTTGTTGCTAAGAAATCAAATTTTGACTGAAAAATGGGCGCAAATGAAGGGTGTTTCAACACTCCGAAGGGTATAAATAGCAGGATCTTTCAATTAGAGTCGGATCTTTGCCATAAATGCAAGAATGACAACTGTAAAAAAAACGAATACATCATCATTTCTCAATAGTGATGGAGTAATACGACATGCACTAATGTTAGGACACGGGATATACTATAATAGATCAAATTACTGGTCGCAGTGGTGTTAGATCTCGAACAGAGGAAAAAAATAGCCTAATCGGTAGGGCACGATATTACCAAGCTGGAGACGACAGGTACGATTTCCGGTTTGGTTTTTCGGGTTGTAAGGTTTATCAACATCCCTGGGCATACAGTATTATTGTAGTATCGATAACTGTGGAAATGCAAATGGAACACGAAGTTGACAGCTGGAAAAGCTCTCTTGGTACACAAGCGTAAAAAATACATAGAAGAATAATAATTGGCAGTTAAAATGGAGATTACTATGGTAAAACATTTTTTTTTTTGTTAATTAAGTTCTAGGTTGTTTATAAATTACTGTCAAGTTCGATATCTATTACTGTACGAAATTTTCTCAGCAAATATACTGTAGATCGTATGGCAAAATAATTTAAAAAACTTTCCCCAAGACACCATATACCTAAAACTCATGATATAGGCCCAAGCAATGTATTACACATCTGTACAATGTTGTCTGCTGAGTAATTGTTTGAGCTTGATCATCAAATGCTTATGTCTTAAATCGTTAATAACATTTGTTTCTCAACTTTAATCGAAAACTGGTCTTCAGCAAAGTTGTAGTTGACTCAACTGTTTTCTTCAAGCACAGTTATCATGTTTTCAAGCAGAGCGATATGGAGAATTAATAGTATAATATGAATATAAAGTATGGCTTTTCCAAAGTAATTTACATATACATTTCAAATGGTTTGTGAACAGTCAGTTTCCAACCAAATTATTTTAAATTTTGGTAGGCTAATCAGAGCCCGATTTTGAATCGCTTGAACAATGTGGAGCGAATATTTCAGATTTAACATCACTCTAGTGTTTATGTAACTAATATTATGGTCATAAAATTGTAAACGGGAAAATATAGTACTGAGGCCCAGTGATGGAAAAGTTCGCGATAACTCACTTTGACTCGCGAACTTTTCCCATGGTGAACTTCGTTAAATATCGCGAACTCAGTGAGGCCCAATCAGAGGTGGTAAATATCATTAAATGTTAGCGGGAAAATGTTCTGACATTACCCCCTATATTTAGTGCGGAGAAAATAATGGAATCTTATCTACTTACGTAATGTCCAGCACCACTTCATCGGTGTTGCCTAAGACTGAGAGATCACTTGTACCCAAAATGTGGCTTAAATCACCGGCATTCTTCGGAGTACTTCCAGGATGAACTGGCGTGTTTAATCCACTTCGTTTTCCACTTCCAAAAATCGACGATTGTGATTTGTGAGCTGTGGCATCGCCCACCACTAGGATTCCTTTCAGCACTGCTAACACTGGAGCGACCCCAATGTTTTTGTGTGCAGCAGCAAGGAGATGCCGATCACAGCTTAACTTGATGTTATGAACTTGTCCAGTAGTTGTGATGGGGTTTGGTGATGTACTTACTGAGTATAGTCCTGGCTGTGGGCACTCGATAGTTTTGAATAATCGTAACAAAAGGTGACAGGATAACCTAGCTCCTGCTTCAATCTCAGATGTTGTTTCACTGCGTCCTTTACATGCTTGAACCAGCGCAGGCAACGCGACGTGAGCAACGAAATTTTCTAATGAAAAGCAATGTCTTGCAACGAGGATGCTCGTAAATACGGATAGAGCATTATGGATGTTGGTATTCTTTATGTTCACTTGAGCCATCACATCCACGTAGTACCCAGCATCTTTGCTAGATCCACAAAGGGCTATAAGAACTCCAAGCCATTCTGTACTCAAGGCATTGCAACAAGCTGTTAATTCAGCGCACATTGCTGCTATGTCATTTAATGTATCATTATCAATGTCTCGGGTAACAGCAATCACTGCATTGCACACAAAACTATAACGATTCGATGCGGATTCATTTAGTTGACGAGCCCAACATGGCTCGATTTTGCCTCCTCGTCGGGGTGAATTTATGATATCGACCATAAACTGCGCGTTGTAAGTATGAGCAGATGGAGCCGGTTGTAATGGAGTGTAAAGAGCTTGCTTGATTTTTGGATAAGCATTATTAAAGGCTTGTTCTTGTTGAGGACGAGTTTTGAGGGATGTACATGCTGAGTAGAGATCGTAAAGATAGGCTAGAATGCATCGGTCTGCAGAACTACAGTCACTTGGATTAGTTACATGTTTCACAATTCGGCAAAGTCCTTCAAAAATCGCATTGGTTTGTTCTGGTGATAGCAGTAAGCAACAATGGTATCGTCTTAAAACGCCTACTACGTACAAACTTAGAGAGGTGGTATAGTTTTTAACCAAAACAGAATTCTTGCTCATAAGTTGTAACTCTACTTCGGGAAGCTCTTTTAAAATTTGTATGCATGTATCAATCAAACCATAGATGTTGAATGCAGATTCCATCAAATCAAACATAAAGGCAACATGCTCTTGAACAGGGAGGTAACTGCTATTTCCAAGAGCAAAACTATTCAACATTTCTTGAACTTGAACCGCACATTGCCAGGTAACAACATATTGGTCAAAATATGACATAGATTGACACTTGTTGGATGTTGATTCAAAGTTAAACTCATTCCGTGAATGCTTCTTCACTTTACCTCCCTCTGCAACATCAATACTAAATTTCTTCGAGAACAATTTGCAAATCTCTTTTGACATTTTTTTCACTGCGTGTTTCTTTTCGTCTCGTTCTTTGCCAACTCCATATAAAAGTATGTAACGCTGATTGCAATCATGTTGAGATATTGGATCATCCTGGCATAGTGGGAAGTGTTCCGTGTACAAAAAATGTCGACTGGAAGATTCTGCCTTAATGTTGACAACGTTCGGCTGTGGTGTTGCTTGTTCTGGATCTTTTGGGCTATCTGGGGCATCCATTGAATTTTGCTGATCCTCCTTGATGTGCTGCAGTAATTTATCCAAATCATCATCGACGTTGGAGTCATCCAAATCTTCTAACTTTGCCTTAAAGTCGTTCTGAATAACATCTTCATCTACACTTTGATTCACATTAGGTGATGATGTTACCGGTTTATTTGAAACAGGACCCGTTATTAGTCCAGGATTGCAATTCGTTTGTGCATCGACTGCGGACATTCCAGATCCAGTCAGTAAATCACCTCTCGAAATTAATGTACACATATACGCATCATGTGAAAAGACATCATGTCTAATCAACTCGCTAAACAAATGTACTAGATTTGTAAATTGGCTCTTGTTTTGCGGTGTGCAATGTTCTTCAAATGTCGGAGCATCATTGTCCAAAAAGTTCATTAAAATATTCTGAAAAATAGGAAATCCGCCTCCGGGCCCACCTCCAGAAATTACCGAGTCTTTGTCGTCAGATGAATTCACATTGTTGCCACTTTCATTCTCGTATGTTGTGTAAACTTCAGATTGTCTTTTATCCAACAACCACGCAACAGCCATTGCGCGATGTTCTCCCCAACGCTGCCAAGATACAGCCCATTCACATAAAATCTTGATGATTGATGCATCCTGTTCGACATTCTGTAAAACAAAAATATATGTAGTATAAAAAAGTATTATGTAAAAAGCGAAAACTTACAAACTCTAATTGCTTGCTGGTGCTTTCATTTACATTTACAGGGCTGCAGCTGTTAGCATTTGAAATTTCCTTTTGTATTTGCAAAGGAGGGAAAATTTTCTGATATAACGTATCTAGCGAGTTGTTTGTGTCCATACGATCAAAGCAATGTCCATCTAGTGCATCCAAAACCGTCAATATTTTCAAACTAGCATTTCCAGCCGCTGTTTGCCATTTATCAATGCACCAACGGGATTCCGCATGTCTCGAACGTATTTTTATACTTTCTTCCGCTAGTATTAACTTCTTTCGTACTTCTTCGTTAGACTTTTCACAACGAGCTGGCATTGCAAGTCCGGATGGTGCAATTGGAAGATGATCTAGTGGACTTCCGGCAAGAACAGAGGACGAGCGTGTTTCTCCAACACCACACCATACCAGAGCCGTAGGGCACTCTAGTGTTATAACTTGAATGATCGAGGTTAGCTGCATTATCATGTCACGATGATGGGGACAGCCTATGTATTCTGAGAAAATTGAATCAAAAGGATTGAGCCGAGACGCATCATCATTTTTAGTATCCGTTTCAATGGACACTCTTTCTGTATTTTTATCCTTTTGTTCCAATGATTCTTGTTTAGTCTGGAACGTATCTGAGTTGGTTAAATTTAAATTATGACTATCTGCCATTACATTGATAAAATGAGCTAGTTTCTTGCAAACAGCATAGGCTAGCCGACGGGCGAACCGTTCTGATTGAACAAAATCCGGCAGGTATTGCATAGCTAGTGGTATGTAAACTTTTAGAATTCCATCATCAGACGAGGACGATGATTTCATTTTGTCAAGCAAATCTAGAACCCAGTTGAGAAATTCTGCTTTATCTAACAAGCCTTCTTCATACATATATTTGCACAACTGAGCGCAGTAATTCCATTGCTTTTGAGCGAGTTTTTGTTCCTCCTGTGGAGAGGGAGGTGGGGCTTGATTCTGTATCTGTGAAGTACTGCTTCCAAGACTTGAGCTAGCTGGACTATGGATACTTCCGACTGGACTAGACATCGGGGCTGGTATAGTTTGATTTGGATTTTGTCCAGAATTGGGTGTCATCCCGCCGGGGGCACATGAAGAGCCAGTAGACGATGATTTTTCCTGGACTGTACCCTGGTAAAAGTGTTCGTGAAGTTTGGGTATTAAGTCCTTCATAAATTTAATTAATGTTCCGGTCCATTCGGTAGCCGGGTCTGGCATTTGTCGTTTTTTGATCTTTGCTTCGGAGACTGCTACAGTATAAGCGGAACTTAGCTTTATAAACCATGCTGCTCTTTGCATTGTAACTTGATTTTCACAAAGCATTGAAAATATTTCCTCTTTCTTATTGAAACTCGGTGCCTTTTTTGCTAAGCTACTTAGAGGTTTTGTGCCCGCTAAATCTCTGAACCATGTATCCAGGGTAGCTTTGGTCCTAGCTGTTACGGGCCAAAAATTGTCTTTTGGGTTAATTTGTTGTTTTTTTCGTCCCGAATCTGGTAACGTCATTAATTCTTCTTTCCGGGCTAAAATTGCATTAAAGTACGCGCCTACCTTACTAGCCGTTACGTTACAATTCCTAGCGGTACCAAACTCCTCTGAAAGTTTATGCTCCGTGGCAAATCCATGCTTGACATGAGTAGAGGTAAGCTCGTCTTCCCGTTGTTTTGCCTCTTGCGGGTAGACATCAGGAGGCCCCAAACGAGGCCTCTTCAGTGGACGCATATTCATCTTTTCCCACATCGAACTAAATAAAATCGATAAACATATAAAATCACAACAATTTCCCTTAAATACTAACCGCTACTCACCACTTTGTCAGATTCTGTACACAGTTTCGTCTTCCATTTGTGATCAGCAAATGTTAAGCAAAAGGCAGAAGTGTCTGCTATGATATCTTGTAACAATATTCTGGTTTTACACTCAAAATTCAGTAATTTTCGGTATGTTCGGCGTTCTTCACAGCTCACATAGAAACTTCGCACCAGATAGTAGTTGAACTATTCAATTTAAAACTGTTTTTTTTTTTTTTCTTAAAATAATAACGACCGACGCTACTTCTTGTAAAATAAGACAGCGAAAAATATAGTACAGCAGTGGTGACGACGAAAACAAATATGGCTGTGCGGTTGTCAGTCAGTCTTGACCGAAGGATCTCAATGTATAAAGAGAAGGTAATACTACTTCTTACCAACAAACACAGTTAGTTACTACCAAAATAAAAAATAAATCATGTTTGGTACCAAATAATGTATGTTCATGGATGCGAGAAATATTAATGTATCTATTTGGGGATGTTAGGTATAAACGAGTACTTAACATTCAGTGACAAATTGGTATAGAGCTTTATGACGTTTAATCGGTGCCCACTACTGTACCATCTAAATCTAAGAAGTGCGAGCAAGAGGGATACAAATTATTGGTAAAAAAATGACTCCATTCACTCCCGTGTTATATAGAGGAAGAATATTTATCATCAAAAACTGTATAGATCACACGGCCGGTAGTAATGGTGCGGAGTGTACGAGGGTAGTAGTAAAAAATCCTAGGAAAATTCACAACAAACCACAGTTAAGCTTATTTTGACAGTTTGAACTCCATACATTAGATTTGTACCCGAGGATGTGATTATATTTACTGTTAGTGTGTGTGTGCGTTAAACGTCACTTATATCTATAAATTGACAATTGATGATGTTTGATAGATATGTACACTCAAAAAATTTATCACATATCTAATGGATGAAAACCATGTGAATTTCACATAGCTTTCAAGTGATCACATAGCTAAAAATCTCACCACAAAATCACATGAATATTATGAGGCCGATGAAATTCATATGAAAAATTATATAAAATTAACGTGATCGCATAAATGTTATGTGAAATTCAGATGAATTCCATTAATTTTGTTTATTGATGAAAATCATTTGAAAACTATTATCGATGTACTTATTATCCTTTGTGATAGAGAGACTGAATTTGTATTAATCCACAGCTGATCAAATTTAACACACATAAGCCTTGCTCAATGCTACAGCTCAAAGTTGCTTGCACTTACTCGGGATTTTTGTCAACAAATAGCTGTCAGCCAAGGATTTCTTATTCTTACTAGATTAAATTTGAGAGTATTGCAATCGAACAGAAATTCAATCACCTTTATCAGAGATGAACCAGCCGATGGCTGAAAGTCTCTTTAATAAAGAAAGATAAGATAATCATCTTTATGTTTCGTGTGCTTCTCAAATTCAACTAGTTTTTCGAATCAAGAACAATATTCTAACTCTATTGATTAATTGATTTTAGTTTTATCAATTAATGGCACCAAGAAATGTGCAAATATTGCGATGCAATCAATCATTATTTTGCACGTAAATCGAATCAAAAATAAAAGTCATGTGAAATGCTAGCTTATAGTAAGGGTTGCAGATAATTTAGGTACAAATCCCTGCTGCCGAATTCGATTTTGTTTTCTCCGCCCATCTCTCCCTCTGAGCATTTCTAGCTAAGATGAACATACCTTAAAGTCGGTCAAGAATACTTAGCTATCGGTAAAAATGACCGATAATCGAAGAAAGGGCACATACCTAAATTATCGGTAATCATGGATTACCAATAATTAACGTGGAAAATTACTTAATTTACAGTAAAAATAGCCTATTTAAAGTAAAAAGTAACGGTTTTATCGGTAAAAAATACCGAAAAAAATTTACCGATAATTTTAGGTAATCGTAGCTAAGAGTGCATATCACTTCAAGCTGCTACACAGAAAAATAAAACTTCTCAAAGTTTGGGTTATCTAAACCCAAATTTGAGTTTAGCTACGCGCTAACTTCAGCTTACTTACCGGGTGAGTCGATCGTACTCACTTTCGTCCGATGTATCGCGTTGTCAAAAACTGAGTAAACGAGAAATGTCAAACTGAGTAAAAGCCACTCAGTCAGCAAAATCCTGGACTTGGAAAAAAATGTCAACCATGTTGGAGGAAACTTCCTAGGAAAAGTTACTCAAAACCGGCTGAAATGCCTTCAGGTAATAAGGAATTGCTTAGGGAAACGGTGTTGAAGCATTTTTTGCTCCGGTAGAATGAATCCGGAGCAGGAAATTTCCATTTCCTTAAATAAAAATCAAAACAAAAACACTCTCCGCAACTGAAAATATCGCTGAGTGGATTTGACTCAGTCTACGTGAGAACGTAGTTTACTCAAAATTGAGTCAACATAAGGCTGAGATGAGTACATTCGGCTCAATTATGTGTTGACCAGAATAAGCCTGTAGCTCTCTCCGTTTCATTCCCTTTCACGGTAACCAACGTAAACACATTAATGAGTAAAAAATACACATTTTTTATATATATATATGCAGCTGTCAAAAAATGTGTAAATTTGGAGATCTTAAAATGTGTAAAAAAATACACATTTTAAGAATGTAGTACCAGTCCAAAAATGAGCATTTTTATACTCTTTAATGGGTAAAAAAAACATGACGAAATTTGCCTAAGCGAAAAACTTTCAGCAATTTTAATAAAAAAAAATTGAGAAACTACGGTCCAAACTGTAGCAGAGCAACGGTGGACAAGCTAGAGGGTAAGTGATTTATTTTATTTTCATAGGTAAGCCCTAGACAAATATTCTTTATTAAGGTTTTCATTGTCCGGTGTCTGGCTGTGATTTTTTTTTTTTGATAAAATATTATTGAATCCGATCAATCTTTTTTTTATCATTGACAAAATTAAAAATTAATTTCTCTGAATGATTACTTTTTACACATTTTGCAGTAAAAACCATTATTGAAAAATGTGTAAAAAATACACTTCTATTGACGTTTGATGGATTTACACATTTTATGAGTAGGCCCCTTTTTCACGAAATGTGTGAAATTTTACACATTTATGTGTTTACGCTGGTTACCGTGTTCACTATTGTTGCCAAAAATATAACGAAAGATTCGACTTAACCATCAACTTCCTTACAAGAAGCCAAAATTGAGTAATTATCGAGTGAAATTTTAAATTCCGATTGCAATGACATATGCACTAACAAGTAAAGCTAATCAAAATTTTAAATAGGGGAAATTTCGGCTTCGGCAATGCCTTAACCCTCCTTAACCTATTATCGTTAGGGGGGTAAACAAAATCCTAGAGCACTCAAATTTGGCCAATAGATGCTCTGAAACACAATGTATCCACATGCAGGAATTGAGCTGTCTAGGGCGTTGTTTACCCCCTGACGATAATAGAATAAGGTATTGCCGAAGCCGTCATTTACCCTATGCTATTGTTTTAATATCAATCTATAATAACTTATGTAATCACGGGGGCAACAATCAAGAATTTCGTCGCAGCTCACATCAATGTGATGAATATAAGGGTTATAATGACTGCAATAGACTACTCTTTCTAGCATTCCTAAGTTATCATCAAGCCCACTAATGCGAAAAGTGCAATATAATGCTAATATAAGGCTAATATAAAAATTTAAATCCTTAGATTGTAAAAAGAGCCTTTATCGGGCTATTAACAGGCTTGGTGGTTACTTGGGTTCTGCACTACGATGCAAGTGTGAAAGAGTAAGTTGTTTTGTTCTATCATACCGCTGTCAATTTGCCCAAAAGTGTCAGATGACCCAAAAATGCCAAAATCATGTGAGCTATGATGCATCTATATGTGCACGAATAGAAATCCCCTTATACTTTTTGGCAAATTTCTATTGCTGATTATTCATACAGATGACTGATACAGCTAAAAAGCAGACGCCTTTCAAAAAACTTAATGAATATCATGCGTTAAATGAAATGTATAAATGGTCACACATGCATTCTTATAGGATCTTATGGACTTATGGAATTCATTCCTTCATTATCGTTTCATGTGGTAGAATTCTCCTGCATGTAATAGATGTGCAGTATCAGCCGATGTATCCAAACGGAAAGAGTAGAATGGAAAAGCTCGAATAGATACAACATTTGGTACGTACCCGCATATTTATTATTACCGATACAGCCCAACAAACAATTTTAGCTGCAGCTTAGCTTATACAGACAAAAATTAGCTCCATAAGGCAAATTTTGACTGTATAAGCTTATCTGCAGCTAAAATTGTTTGTTGGGAGTTTAAAGCCAGAATAACCCACTAGCGACAATCGATTTTACTCTCGTTCTGTTCGTTGAACATAGCGTCGGAAGTAGTGCGCTATTAAGCGCATCATTGTGCGATTACTCGCTAGTGGGTTATTTAGGTTTTCAACTGTACCGAAGTCGTGATAGACTTCGGGCTTATTGATATAACTAGTGGAGTTTGTATCAGAGGTGGAAGTATTTAAAACAGATGAAAGACCCTGAATGACTTGAGCTCTTTGACTCCGTTAGACAGTTTGAACTGTACACAGCAAAAACATAAATTTTAATATTTATTATATCCAAAAGGATGCACTTCAATCATGTCGAAAATCTCATGTAATTTTTATGACCACAAAAATAAACAAATGCAGTAAAAACAGCGTAATGTCAGTTCATGCACTGTATTAATGGTAATTTTGTCAAGTAATATTACACCATAATTTTGACACGATTGAAGTGCATCCACTTTGATGTGATATCAAAATTAATTTTTTGCTTTGTGGCCTATGTTAGCCGTGTATCATATCTGAAAAATTCTGCGTTAGGTTATAGATAATTCACTTTTACATCGCAGACAGAATAATCTGCAAAATTGATCGAATAGTCTCCGAGATCCCTGTCATTAATGGGTTAAGCAACTTTTCTTGAAAATGGGTGATATTTTACTCAATAATAAGTCTAGTTTTAAATATGAGTGTTTGGTGGGAGCTTTTGTATGTATGTGTGAGTACGTTTGTCAAATATTATTGCAGGAACAACAATTTGTAATTTATGAGTAAAGAAAGGAGCTTGCAATTTGTGAGTACTTCATAAATAATACTTTAGTTTATCATAGTATTAAACTCTGTGGTCGTCTCCTCAACAGCATCTGTAGCCATTATTATTCTTTTTTAAAGCCAAGTACCACTTGAGTAAGTAGTTTGTTGTTTTTATTTCTTATGTTTGAATTGATTTGAAGGCCTCGATTCATAAACTTCAACAAGGGACAACAAAACACAAAGCGTCTCGCTTTGTCAGTGTGTTCTCATATATACGGTTTGTATATACATGAAAATACTATATATGCTCACACAGAAATTCACACGCACGAGTTAGTAATAAGCCGATCACAAACTCTTCCATTTATTAAATACAGTCTTCAATGGTGGTCTGCTGGCGTTAATTAAGATTTATATAATGTAAGCTGCTATCTAAGATAACCGATTTCATTAAATCAAACGATATCAGAACCGCTTGCGTCTTAAAAAACTTCTGGCTTAGTTGAATAATAATGTTTGATGTTTAAAAAAACGCGCTGAAACGAGGTCATGATCATGTGTGAAGTGGTTGCAAAGTCTTAAAATAGATACTTTCTATGTAAACAAATAAGAAGAGGTTTTTTACTAAAATAAATTATAACGACTTGAGTCAATGAGTGCTCATTTTGAACTTTTGCTGTGGGCAAGTATACTGAATTTGTATTCGATCTGGATCAAATCATTGTATTGCATTGTATTATTTCAGACAACACCAAACACCAAGAATGGAGGAAGCTCATCATCACGTTCACTTCGATACGGCTGTGATAAATGACGAACTTCATGATAACACCATTATCTATCAAGTGGCTGCCAATGCTAATTCAATCACGGTTCATTTAGGTTTCTTGCAAGTTAAGCACAGATATCAAATTGAATTGAACATGCCTGCCCTTACTCTGTCGAAAAGTGGATTAAATATTGGTGATAACTCCTGTTTTGTAGTTGAAGAATCCAAGTTGCCAAATATTAATTGCAAACTACTTGAATTTACTACTAAACCGATAGTAGATGCAGATGGTAACGAACAATATAATGCTAAAGTGGAATTTTTTGCTCACAAAGAAAAACTTCTCAAGGAGCATTTATTCGTTTCTGGAAAAGAAGATCCAGGAATAAAACTTCATTTGGTGCTAGTAGCCCGCGTTCTGGGTCGTGGAAAAGGTACACCAATGTTGCGTGATGGCATTCACTTAATTGCTGTAGAGGACGACGAAGAATCAGAGCTTTCTGATTGGCAGGGTTTTCCTAAGAAAGAATAATGTATAATAATAACACTTAATGAACCTATAGTAGTAAAGCTAGTTTGTCGATTCTGATTCTTTTTAAACTTTCAATGCAACGCACTGTGGTCCGAAATGGCAAGAGGTGGAACTTTATTCCTAGAGCCTGACCAATTCATATCAGCCATAAAGTGTCTTCAGAAAATTTGTTTGTCCTCCACATTTTGAACGAAACAAAAATGAGTCATGTCTATGATAAAAATAAAAAAAAAAAACAAGCTTTTTTATTTGAAGATATAGAGGAATTACGTCTCTGGCCAATTTGCAGAAAATGTCAATACAAGCAACTTTGCCGAGAAAATCGAAATTCTAAGTCCAGTATTTTCAGTAATGCTCATTACACATTGTTATGGCAACTCCCTTAAATTTTGTTTTTCGATCATAATTCCTTGCTGATTCACTTTTTCAGCCAACATTGTTCTAGACAACTATAAGAACTGCAAAAACACAAGATTTTGTCCAAAACTGCAAGTCGATATAATTATTCCTTGACGAGTTATAATAGCACATTTCTGCTAAAAAACAGCACATCTTTTATGTATTTTTTTGTTAACTTCATGTGCTTATATATATATATATATTTTATGTTTTTTTTTTTTCATAATTTTTCAAACATACGATTTTCAAGCTGTTTTGCCGAAGAACGATTGAAATAGTAAAAAAAAACACATGTGTTTGCAATGGTGTAGCAAATTGTAACTATATTTTTTTTCTTTAGTTCATGAGCTTATGGGGTAAGTGAAAATACAAAGTCAACTAGTCTTCTTGAATCTTAAATTAGGAGCTATAAAGCTGTACAGCAGAACAGCTAGAACAGTGTATGGTTGATGGATTTGATTTGATTTCTTTTTTAAAGAGACTTTGAGCCGTGGGCTGGTTCGTCTCTGAAAACCCCAGAAAGAGGTTCCCTAGTTAGAAAGGCTGGGAAAAATGAAATATAGAATAAATATGTATACAAACTGAAAGTATGTTAAAATATATTAAAAAAAAACACGGACATATAAGGCTGCCGTACTCAAATATGGGTAGATAAAACAAACAAAACCTTCATAACATTCTAGTGCTTGTTTTTGAGTTCCCACTTGCCCCATTCTCCTTATTAGCGTATTAAATTAAGTTGTTAGGGAATGCTTAAATAAAACTGCAAAAAAGTTTATTTTCCAATTAATTCCACATGTCGTGTGTACCTAAATTAATTAAGTGGAATTAAATATAAGGCCTTCTTTCTGTTTTAACTCTTCAAGGAATAATTATAGCGACATACAGTCTACGTAAAAAAAAAAGGTGTTGCGGTTCTGATAGTTGTCTAGATCATTGTGTACTAAAAGTTATGATCGAAAAACTAAATTCAAAGGAGTTGCCATAAAAAATGCGCCAAACTTTGAAAGTAATGTACTTAGAATTTAGATTTCATCAGCAAAGGTGCTTTCTGATACCGAAGTGCGTCGTATTGAAATCCAGTTTGATGTATTTAAAGGGATGAAAATACTGAGTGGTTTTAAAAGTAATCAAGAAATATTTAAGGATAATTAATGAAATATCATAACTGAATGTAATTAAATTATCACATTTTACAGAAATTAAAGTATTTAAAGAAATAAAGAGTGTTTTTAATATATTGAAAGCAGTAGTCGTTAGAGTTTGAAAAAAGTATTTGGCTCGCTGCGTTGACCAATTCAATGTGTTAGCATAAGAGCGTCTGTTGGTAGGTACACCGTGAGCTGATCAGTTCTTCGAACAAATACTGTGTTAGTCGATGATAGTACGTAGTACGACATGCTTCACGAACAGAGTGAAGTTTGCTAATGGGTTTTTATTAGAAATACTCAGAGGGAGAGATTGGCGGAGAAAACAAAATACAATTCGGCAGCAGACTTTTATTTTTGATTCGATGTACGTGCAAAATAATAATTGATTACATCTCTTCATTCCTTTATTTAACGTCGGTCTCTGTTCCGCAATCTAGTGCCAATCACCGACGGACATCGATTGCCATCCATTGACGGTAATCGAATGTGCAAGGAAGGTAGCTTCCACACCTGCGTAGGATATCACACCTATTCAACAACACACATGGGCCGGGACCAACGGCTTTACTTCCCTTCCGAAGGAAGACGTGACCAGAGATTTTTATGCCTCAGAAAAATCCCACCGACCTCGTCTGGTATTGAACCCAGACCCATTGGCGTGAAAAAATAGTCACGCTTACCACTACACCACCGGCGCCGGCCGATTGATTACATCTGTGTTATCTGACTTATAACGAATATACGTTATATACGAGTACTCCGAATACAACGTTCGTCTAATTTTACATTGCAAATGCTATGCAAAATAAGACGAGTCATACGTTGTATTCGGGGTACTAGTATACAACGTATATTCGTTATAAGTCAGGTAACGCAGTAGCTATAGGCTAAAAGTCTCCTTAATGAAGATTAAAAAAAAAATTAACCAACTAAAATCAATTAATCATTAGAGCTCGCATTAGAGTTAGAATATTGTTATTGATTCCAAAAACTTGTTGATCTTGATTTTTTTTTATTTTTATTTAAGAGATTTTTAGCCGAAGGCTAGTTTATCTCTAGTCGAGTCTCTAGTAGTTGATCTTGAGAAGCACACGAAACATAAATGTGATTGAATTTCTGGTCGATCGCAATACTCTCATTTTTTTGTTTTTCCTTGATGTGTTTCCCGTCGATCTTGTTTTCCGTGCTGAGCACCAATGCCACCGACGCCAGGGAGGCAGCTCCAACACCTGGACCCTACATATCGACCCATCAACTCATGAACCGGGGACCAACGGTGTTTACTTCCCTTCCGAAGGAAGGCGTGATTATAGATGTTATGCCTCAGAACATCCCGGCGGCGCCGATTGGGATTGAACCCAGGCCTACTGGGGTGAGAGGTAATCAAGCTTACCACTGCACCACCGGTGCCTACTCTCAAATTTAATCGAGTGAGAATAAGAAATCCTCGGTAAAATTCTAATGGGAATGTTCGATTGGCTCAGAATTTGACAATTCATTTGGCTCAAAACATTCTCTCCGCCCATCTCTCCCTTTGAGTATTTCTAGTTTTTATCAAAGGAGTAAAGAGTTACAGCATAGAGGTAACACCTTAACATTAAGACCAGAAGGTCCCGAAGAAACGAGCTCAACTTTTTGGCTCAGCTCTGGTACTATCTTCGGTCCCAAGCTAATCGATTCACCCCTTGAAACATAGGAAAATCCATTAACCCCTCATATTATCTGCCAAACTTTCATAGCGAATCAAAACAAACATAGTGTAGTACTGGAATTTATACTAGAATGGGATACGTTAATCGATTTGCTTGGGACCAATAGGCTAATCAAGTAGTGAGCCAATTTAAAATCGTTAGTTTCGTATTGATTGTTGGTTACAGAGTCGCCGTCAATTCTTTGCTGCATACGGGTAATCATGACAGATTCTGACGCAGTAGATCTTTTTTTGTTTTCATTCGCGTTATTTTCAAAGATCAAAACATCATGATTAACTGAGATTTGTCAATGATGTAAATATTTACACGTCGTGCACTGAACAATACAAATAGAGCATTTTACGAAATGTTTCTGATTCAACTTATGAATGAACTTTAACAAGAGGCGGTTTCCTAACGGCTGTAAGAAACAACATCAATATCATCAAATTCTGTCAGACAACACAGCAGATTGTCATTTCGTAAAATAAACTTCACTGTAAATAGAAAGCTGAGTGATGCAAAAAAAAATCAACAGGTGCAAGCAGAGCAAATAAAAACTAAGCTAATACCCCGGACAGACTATGGCTTATATCATGTAATATAGGCTGGCTTGCAATGAGCACTCATATATAGGATTTCCAGTGAAAACTAGATGTATGAGTGCTCATTGCAAGCACAAATTGCAAGCCAATATTACATGATATAAGCCATAGTCTGTCCGGGGGTCCGGGGTATAAAACAGAATAGAAATAATGCATAGTATGTAGGTAAACATTGTAATAATCATTGTATATACACTGCTAAAGTTTCAAAGATTGCTTTTATGAGTCCCACACATGAATTTTTGCAATGTGATCAACAAACACACTTAGAAAATATTACCGAACTCGGTTTGATTTCAACCGAGTTTTTTTCTGCTGAACGCTCGGTAGTATGTTCAGTTCAAAGAGGAATAACCGAGCTGTCGTTAGTACTTTTTGTTACCCACAATCTGTCAAAGTTATCGAAAATCTCTCCCACAATCTGTCAAAGTTATCGAAAAAAAAAATTAAGCAGAAATAACCGAACATTGGTTTACTCAATATTTACCAAACGCTGTCAAACAAACTGACCCACCTGTTGTAAATACGGAATTCGGTTCTCTTCGGTTTTCACTTCAAATCCTGATTAAGTTTTGATTAAGGATGCGTTGCTTCGAATTTTCATAATAATAAAACCAGTTTTGTCAAAGAAATGTATAAAATATATTTATTTAATTTGTTTTGGCGAATAAAAACTTCCGTAACGCGAGTTACAGCGTGGAAAGGTACAGTCAAAAAAATATCATTGACTTTTTCAGTAGAAACAAACTATAGCACAAGATGCCTGCAAATAAAATCATACCGTTAGTTTCAAATACTTACAAAATATTTCATTCCAATGTGAATCCTCCTGTTGCAGCTGCAGAACTTTTTCTATTTTTCTAAAGTTTTGCACAGGAAAAAAGTATATTTATTTGGTAGTAGCGTTCATAGTAGAGGATTAATGATTTTCGATTAATGTATGTTGCAAAATTTAAACAGTATTCTTTTATAAGCTAGAATAAAATCTGTTAGTTCTCGTAATACATTGTTATTGTTAGTTTCTTAACATATGAAAAATATTTTGAACATTGATTGCAATGCTTTATCTTTCGATCGAAATCATTTAAGCTTTTTTATGGTGCCGATCGTTGAATTCTTTTTTATTTATTCATTTCGTCAAGCCAGTGTAGACTATTGGCAAATCAAAGTTAACTCTCGTGGAGAACAGAAAAACTATGAAAGTGATGATGGTTTCAAAATTTTCCACGGGGAAGTATACGAGTGCAGTCTTAAAATGCTTTTATTTTGTGAATGGAGCATTTTATTTAAATCTGGTTAGTGCTACGTTAGTAGAAAACTTCAGGACTACTCAATAGACATATAATACAGAAAACATAATTTCTTTTCAGATTTTTAGGTGTAAACATAGACTTCCGCTTTTCTACCACTGTAGCAGTAACCAGATTTAAATAAAATGCTCCATTTTCAAAATAAAAGCATTTTAAGATTGCACTCGTATACTTCCCCGTGGAAAATTTTGAAACAATCATCACTTTCATAGTTCTTCTATTCTCCACGAGTGCCAACTTTGATTTGCCAATAGTCTACAATGAATGAGCCAATATTTTGTAAAATTCGAAATAAGCGTTAAAATGGATATCAATTAAAAAATTAAAAAATGATCATTAAGGCTGTCCACGAGACAGTTGCGATCAGCTGACTTTTTTGTTTACCAAGAACTTTTGACAGATCACAGTAGAACTGACAGTTTATTCTCATATGAATTTCTGCTTTGTTCAGCACCATTAACACCAGATCACTCACACACTTTTCCACTGAGAAAGTTTTTTTTATGTTTAAGTTTTTTATGTTTAAGTTTTTTTAAGTTTAAGAATTTGTGACAAGTATTACATTAGGTATAGGAAAAACGTTTCGAAAGGGGAATGGAGGGCGGGGGTTATTTTCCTCAATTTAGCGTGACATAATTAAAGTAAGGTCTCTTAAACGTCAAGAAGCTCTATAGAGTTTTTTGACGTTTAATCGGCGCACACTACTGCACCATTTAAATCGAACGAGTGCGAACAAGAGGGAAACAGATTAGTGGGAAAACAAACCGTCAATTCATTCATGTGTGCTAGATAGAGAAAGACGATTAAACGTCAAAAAGGTATATGGTGCCACTAACACAACTTAACAAGATAGAAGTATGTATAGGTAAACCAGTACTCACGGTCCACTAGTGTTGGTGAGTTATTTGCCGTTAATGCTTATGGAAAGTTCACTATTTTGCCATAAGCAATGCCAAAACAAACAAAAATACGGATGGATTTGGACCTGTTTCATACAACTGGAAGGTGCATGCTGGTCATAAATGCATTGCCAAATTGATTTCCTACGCAAGTGATCAATCTTTGATGTGAATTTCGCGAATAAACTCGAGAAGCATTGCTTATAGCAAAACTTTTCATATAAAATGGTAAAAGAAGTGTTAGTTTGTTTACTGAAATGAATTATCATTTCAGTAAACAAACTAACACTTCTTCCTTGTGTGTTACCTTTGTATAAGGTGCCGATTAAACGTCAAAAAGCTCTATGTATAGATTTGTTTTGATTTTTGTTTTCTTCATTATTTGTCTCGCTGAATTCGAATTATATGAATCAAGTGATTACTTAATCCATATCCTTAAAACTCTTCACTGTCACTAATATCGAGATGAGTGATGCAGCTCAGAAACCTCAAAAAACGCAGGCACCAGCAAAAGCACCAGGTGATGGTATTCGCTCGATGCGTTCCACCAATGTTTTTCGGGCAATCAATTTTGAGTTGTACGCTAAACCGGTAAGCTTGTTTGAACAAATACTGTTGGTATTTCAATATTATGATGTTATTTACTTTGGCTCAAGAATGCTGTGATAATGGGTTTAGGCCTTGTGGCAATAGGAATCACTTTCGGTTACATTGCATACATGCGCTCAAAATACGACGGACTTGGATACTATTCCGCTATCCAAGAGGACGGAAAGGAGGTGTTTGTAAAGAGGAAGTCCAAATGGGAGTAGACATACATGTATGCTACAGGTTTGTAAATAGCTATTTTTTCATGTTAATAAAATTAATGGAATAGGTCAAATTTTATTCATCTGATCCGAACCAAACCTTTAGAAAAACTCTTGAAATGCCATACGGTGTAGGGTCACCACTTTTTTTCTCCCAGAATTTTAACGCTTATTCGGCTGTGCAATGCATGAATTTGAATATTATGTTTTGGATGCGAACTAGCCCCACGATGAAAGCCTCGAGCAGTTCCACACCAAATGACGAATCGGAAAAACTCGACCTTCTCCGATTTGCATTGTTTTGTTGTGTCGCTAAATTTAGCTATTTTGAATGATGTATTTTTTTTTTCAATATGGCGTCTCTGTCATTTTTCAATAAATTGTAACATGACAACGTCCCTTCTAATCGAAATGACGTCTGAGACAAAGTCGTAGAGAAAAATAATGTCCTGGGAAAAATATACATGGGAATTGTTTTAAGTAATGTTGAGTAAATATTTCAATAAAGTTTCAAAAACCCATATATCTCAAAAAGTATATCTTCATAGATATTTTTTTAAAGCTCATATAAAATGCAAACCTATGGAATATTTAAAACTAAAATTGACAAAAATGTGTGAACAAGAATTTATGGTATATTTTTTGAACTTTTTACTAGTACACATTTAATCACGGTTTCCATGTTCGGTAATTTTTTTTTAACAGTTTTCGAACTGTAAGTCACAAAAATTACCGATCATTCAGATATTCTCAATAAAATTACTGATGGTCAGTAGCTATTGCGACAAACTACTGAACGGTAAAAGCAAGTACTGAATTTACAGTAATATAACAGCTTTGAATTAATAAAACTCAATAAAATAGAGTACCGAGTTTTCAGTATTCATTATTTTTTACTGAACAGTAATCAAACGAAATTCCAAAATTACTGATCACACCAGTAAATCAAATTACTTGTGCCATCTTCTTCCGTTCTACTTAGCTCAACTGACAACAGAAATATCCTCGTGAAAATAGCAAACCATTGTGAAAATCAATTAAATATCTGGAAGATTGTGCAGTTTCTGTACTTCTGCATCGACTTCCAGATGTTTCAGTTTGAAGTAAAACCATTCAATACAATTGCCTCATATAGAGCTCCAGACTTAGGCACGCAATCCATCACTCCGAGAGAGCCAAAATCCGGTCGAACCATCAGGCAGCGCTGACCGCTCAACCAGAACTAGTTCAGAATCACTGCTACTCCGCCACTAAACATGTTAACCTCCGTCGATCTTGTTTTCCGTGCAGGATCCTACCTATCGACCCATCAATTCATGAACCGGGAACCAACGGCTTTACTTCCCTTCCGAAGAAAGACGTGATCAGAGATATTATGCCTCAGAACATCCCGGCGGCGCCGACTGGGATTGAACCCAGGCCTGCTGAGGTGAGGGCTAATCATGCTTACCACTTCACCACCGGCACCGCTAATGTCTGACATGTCAGAGATGCTGCGATTACGGAGTTTTCATTGAAATCAAAAAGTACTGGGTTGATTACTGAAAACTCAGCTGTATGAAAACCCAGTAAAATTTTACCGACGCCGGTAATCTAAGCACGAAACAATATTTGAGACATTTTAAACTGTCATCTCAGGCATGACATTTGATAACGGCACAAAAGCATTTGTAAACAAATTGTCTAAGGCCCTTTACACGCGAACCAAAGTACGCCCATGCAAACCAATACCACTTTCGGAAAGGTGATAGTTGCCTCTATCCGATGATGTTGTTGGTTTGCGTGGGCGTACTTTGGTTAGCGTGTAAGTGTTCTAATGCCTTGTACATATAACATGTTATTACGGTTGTCAAATAATTGCAACACAGAAACCACCAGCAAGATAGCGCTATAACATGTTTAGTCTGAACGTACTATAAGGCCCTTACAGTTTGTTTACAAATGCTATTGTGCCGTTATCAAATTTTATGCCTGATCTATGCCAACATTAAATAAAAAAGCTTGTTAACAATAAGTTTAAAGATAAGTGTGCATGGTTTTAAATACTCCAAAAATTTGCATTTTTTGTTAGCTTTATTTCAAAGTATATCATTAATATTGAAGATAAACGTTTTTAAATATTTCAGTTTGTAACACCTTTATTATGTTTTACTCAACATTACTATAAAAGAAATACCGTGTATACTTTTTCTAGAAGGACCTTTCTTATCTATACAACCTTATGTCGATCAGAAATAAGGTTTTCGTGCTACAATTTATTTAAAAATGTCAATGTCGCCATTTTGAAAGAAATACAAGATCCAAAATGGCCGAAATTTTTGAAAAAATTGAATGATTGTCCATAAAATACAATTATACAAAGTTTCATACAAATTGGGGAAGGTGAAGTTAATTTTTTTTATCGTTTTATCCTGTTTGGCCTGGAACTAGTACCTAATATTGAAAACCTAATCTAACCTATATTATGTGACAAGCATACACAAAATTATTCAACTGACAGAACTTTGCTGGTTAATTATCTAAATTCTAAATCTGATCGACTACCTGTTAGAGCAGGAGTTCCTCAGGGTAGCAATCTTGGGCCTATATTGTATAACATTTTCACTTCGGAATCTTTGATCGCTGATGACACGGGCATTTCCGCTAAAGGAAGAAGTCTTCGTGTTATTTGCAGCAGACTGCAGAAAAGTTTAGATATTTTCTCTTCTTATTTACGAAAATGGAAGAGTTGGGAGAAACGCTTCCAAAACTCAACTTATAATATTTCCACATAAGCTTAGTAGTAGTCACATAGTCACTATGAACGGAGTTCCAATTTGTTGGTCAAGTCAAGTGAAATATATTGGATTAGTACTTGACCAAAAAATATCTCTTAAAGATCACATTGAGGGCATTCAAGCCAAATGTAACAAATATATAAAATGTTTGTATCCTCTTATAAACAGGAAATCTAAACTTATAATTAAAATATTTAAACAAGTTTTTAGACCGGCCATGCTTTACGCTGTGCCAATATGGTTTAATTGTTGCACTACCAGGAAAAAAGCACTTAAGAGGATTCAGAACAAAGTTCTGAAGATGATGTTGAAGTTGCCTCCCTGGTACAGTACTACCGAGGTACTTAGAATTTCGGATGTTGAGACTAAAGTCAAATGTCGAACAAAATAATTAATAATTTCAGGCAAAAATCGTTGCAATCCTCAATTTATACTTAGACAAGCTTTAGTTTTAGTTTTTAGTTTTAAGATTTAATTTATTATACTGACATGCAGGTTTAAAAAAAACCTGTTTGAATTACTGAATTGCCAAGGCAGGAACTTTTCGACACTGGATAACTGCCAACACCCCCCCCCCCCCCTCTCTAAACTGTCTACGTAGTTAATGAACAGCCCCTTAGTTGTGTTAGTGAATTGTTTTTTTTAGATCCGGATTCAATGTGGTAAGAGTGATGCGATCAGATCAGTATAAAAGTAGCAGACTGTTTTTATTTAAATCTAGACTAGCAAGGAAGGGACGGGCCAGGGATTGAACTCCTGGACCTTCTGCTCAGTAAACAGAAACGGTAACCACTTAGCAACCGAGTCTCATTGCACAATGAGGTAATTGATTAAGATTGCATGATTATTTAAAACATTAAAGTTTGATGTATAAAAACTTCATAAATAGAAATTTTGTTTAATAATTTATCATTAATCACTTAACGCTCAGTTTCAGAGGGTCATCAGCGATTTAATGAATCGTGAACGTTCGCTCAGAGTGAGGGGTTTGTTCTTAATTTATATTTTTCTATAAGCGGCGTTAATCGTTAAATGCGTAAACGATGATCCAGAATGAAGAGTTACGTCTGTTTGTCTGTGATGTAACGCTTACAAGGCGATGAGGGTCACTGTAATAGTCTGATTAAAACAGGTGGTTTCCTTCACATCAAACAATCTTTATTCCCCGCAAGGCACGATCATCTCACACTCTGTCTCTCGTGTGTCTGTCCTTTTTCTCCTTCGTTCCCTTCTCCCGTTCGCTCTCTGTCATTACTGATTCAATGTTAATCTACTATCCAAGGTATGTGGATAATGATAGAACAGTAGAACCCTACATCCCTACTTTTCCTTAAATTGAAACAAACAATATTATGTTCTTAATAAGTTACATAATCCTTCAGTCGACTGGATTCAACTCTAGCTCTCTTAGATACTACGGTTGAGCTGTCCTCATGGTGCAGTGTTTTCGGTTGACCCACTGATTCATCCTGACGGTCCAATGTATCTGACGATTCTTGTCGACGACAAGAACCACTCGTATTCTCATTCGGCTGACTCTCCTGCATCGATTTCCTTGGTAATGACTTCAGGTGAGCAGCGCTTCTTCGGAATTCCTTGCCAGATGACGACCTAATAGTGACATCTGTTCCCCGCTTTTTGATCACACTATATTCTTCAGGCGAGAAATTCGAATGCAGTTTGTTGTCCTTCTTCATCCGCTTCGCCAACACTTGATCTCCAACTTCTATAGTACTAAGTTTTGCTTTGCGGCGATTATCAGCGTATGCTCTACCCTTTTCCTTTTCTATTGCGTCTCGGTCCCTTATCTCTCCATCGTCATAAGTGTTGGTAGGAACTCTTGGCAACTTTGTTCGCATCCGGCGACCAAACATCAAATCCGCAGGTGGTTTCCCAGTAGTTGAATGGTTTGAAGAATGGTATACTAGCAGATATTGTCGCAGATCCTTTCGCCAATCTTGTCCCAACTCCTGGGCTATACGCAATCGTTTTAAAATGGAACGGTTCTGCCGTTCAACCTCTCCGTTCATCTGCGGCCAGTACGGAATAGTGCTATCCAGATGTACGCCATATTCATCACAGAATGCTTGAAACTCTTCAGAAGAAAACTGAGGGCCATTATCTGCACGAAGTAACTCTGGAACTCCATACCGCGAAAAAATGATTAAAAGTTCTTTAATAGTTGATGCTGTTGTTATTTCATCCATTTCTACGACTTCCATAAATCTGCTATAGTAATCAATACACACTAGCAAATTTTCGCCATTCGGAAGTGGACCTAGAAAGTCTACCGCGATTTGTTCCCAAGGCCGTGATGGGAGTCCCTTTCTGATCATTGGCTCTGGTTGACTGGGAGCAGCAACTAAAATACAGCCACGACATTCCTTTACATACTTTTCGACGTTCTGGTCCATTTTGGGCCACCACACATTTGTACGCAAATGGCTCTTCATAATCCGTATACCCGGATGGCCCTCGTGTGCTATCTGCAACACTTGTTGCCGAAGAATCTCAGGAATTACAATTCGGTCTACTCTTAGTAACACGTCATCTAGGCGGCAAAGCTCAGTTGAAATCATTTTGAATGGCAGCGGCATGTCTTCTTCTGTCCCGGAATCAAGAGCTTCAATTATCTGTTGTATTTCTGCGTCTTCTCTACTAGCGCGCCCAATTTCTTCCCACTTCAAAGCCATTGTTGTTGCTGAAGAGGATACGATTTCTCTCACAGTCAACTCTTCCGCTTCATCAAATGGTTGAGGAATCAGTGTGGAAAGACGAGACAGAACATCAGCTATGTTAGATTGTCCTGAAATGTGAACAATCTTGTACTGGAAACATTGAAGCCTCAGTACCCATCGTTCGATACGAGCACACGGTCGAGATGTTGGTGCAAATAAGAAAGTCAATGCTTTACAGTCCGTCAGAAGGTTAAATTCACGACCGATCAAGTACACCTGAAACTTCTCAACGCTCCATACCAGTGCCAACGCCTCCTTTTCAGTTTGGCAATATCTTCTCTCGGTATCTGTGAGAGATTTAGATGAAAAACTGATCACCCTCGACAATCCTTGAGAATTTGTCTGAATTAGTACTGCTCCCAAAGCAAACGGACTCGCATCTGCCAAAACCGACGTTTTATCTTCCAGTTTGTAAAACCCGAGGCTTCCAGCATTCGCTATGCTGGCTTTGACTACACGAAATGCTGACTCCTCCGGTTCATCCCAGTGAAATTTCACTCCCTTCTGCGTTAACTTCCTCAAAGGCTCGTCCACCGTCGCTAAGTTAGGAATGAACTTTCCCATGTAATTAGCGAGTCCCAGGAAACTACGAACCTCGCTTTCGTTAGCCGGTTGACGGAAGGTTAACACAGCATTTCGTTTTTCATCAGATGGCCTTATGCCATCAGAATTAATTTTATATCCAAGAAAATCAAATTCCGTGACGCATATCTTGCATTTATCCCAATTAAGGACTACTCCTCGGTCTTTCATTTTTCTCAATACCTGTGATCATGAAAAAGAACCATTTCCGAATAAAAAAAAAGAAACAAAAAAAAAAGGAAAATAAAAAGGAAATCATTAAAACCCTCCTTGTTTATTAACCCACATCGTTACAAGATACCTCATTCAATCGTTTATCGTGTTCATCCAACGTCTTGCCTTCAACTCCTACATCGTCAAGGTACCAGTATGCACCCTCGCAATCCACCAGAATCTCGTCCATGGTACGCTGAAAAATTTCTGGCGCAGATACCAGACCGAACGGGAGGCGTTTGAACCGATAAAGGCCACGATGAGTGATAAAGACTGTGGCATCTCGAGATTCTTCCTCCAGTTCCAGCTGGAAGAAGGCGTCCTTCACATCGAGAACACTCCACACGTTTCCTTTCCCAATCTTAGTGAGCACATCGTCAATCACAGGCATCGGGTGACGATCGCGGATTACCGCTTGATTAACTCGTCTGAGATCCACACACAATCGAATTTGACCGTTGGCTTTGTTTGCTACTACAAGCGGAGAAACCCATGATACCGGTCCACGTTTTACTTCGATTATATCCCTTGCCAACAGCTCATCTAATTTTTCGTTTACAGCACTTTCAAGAGGAATCGGTACCCGTCGTAACGGCTGGTAAACAGGAGTCACAGTTGGGTCCATCTGAATGCGAACTTGGATACCAGCTATCTTGGAAAACGGCACCAGCTTCCAATCCTTGTTAACTTGATTAATCTCCAAGCCTATTTTGAGAATTCCAAGTTGCTTGGAGGTGGAATCCCCCAGCAGGTTTCTCTGTCCTTCTTCGGTCACAATAAATTCTGCCTCTGTTGAACGATTATCGATTTCCACTGAAGCTTCGAATGTCCCCACGATACGCAAAGGCTCATTACATCCATACGCTTTGAGAACTTTGTTGCTGCCTTTTGTACAATTTGACACGATTACTTGCTGTGCTTTAAGCATCTCCCATGTGTTCACTGTGATTAGATTTACTTCAGAGCCAGAATCAATAAACACTGCTGTCGAAATTCCTCCTATCTTACATTCGAAGGAATTTGTATCGTTGCCTGTATAGAAGGTGTAATACACCTTCTTTTCCGAATCGCCGGACGAAACCGGAAGTTCCGGTGTAGCATCGTTATCTTCTACCGAATGCACTTTTCTCGTATACTGCGTAACTTGAGAATCAGATGGCCTTTTCCGACAGACTTTCTCGAAGTGTCCTGATTTCTGGCATCTTCGGCAAGTTTTGCCTCTCGCAGGACAGGATGGAGTCTTTGACATGTGACCGTATTGACCACAGGCAAAGCAAATGATATCTGCCTCATTCCTTTCCAAAAATCTTCCTCCTGAAAATCGGCGCACAATCCTATCCTGCTTGCGTTCACTCCGCGTTTTCAATCCTGCACGGGGCTCTAACTTCTGGATTTTGAAGACCTCCGATTGACCACCTTCATTGCCACTTTTCAGCTCTTTTTCCTGCAAGCGAACGCTTTCTAATGATTCCCCGAGAGATTCGATTTCCCGCAAGGACTGATCCTTCTCCAAAATTTTCCTTCGCAGTTCCTGGGAATTACACCCTTCGACAATAACATCGACGAGCATAATTTCTTCAAGAACGTTTTTGACTTCCTTTGCATACTTCTCAAAACCGCAATCTGACAACTGTTGACGTAAACGTAGCAAAAAGTGTGAAAATCTTTCATTCGATCCCTGTTTCATGTTGCGTAATTTATGCCTCTCTAGCACATCCTGATTGCGAGGTTTGAAGTACAAATCCAACCGTTCAACGGCTATGTCATAAAAAGGCTTCTCCAACAGCACTAATGGAAAATCTTCAGTCCCATCCAGGCTTCTAAAAACTTTCTGCAGTTGTGGACCACCCAAGTGCAACATCTTGGAGCGCTTCATCTTTTGATCCGTTATTTGATACGAATCAAAGTAGCACTCCAGAGCACCTTTCCACTCTTGCCATTCTTTTGCAAGTCGTGCACTTTCTATCTGCTCACATTTAAACATAGGTATCGGACGACTTTCATCCATCTGAAACCATAATCAAAATAAAATGCACTGGTTACCATTTTATCACCTTTTTTTTTTTTTTTTTTTACGGCTGTTGTGGGTAATTCAACCTTTAATTAATAATTTCAATAATCGAAAATAAGAACAACAAAAAAAAACCTCTACTGTGATTTGTCAATATACTCATGTCATACTACTCATACTACATGTCAACCTTGCCGGTTTGCGTTGGAAAGATCACCAGACACCCTGTCTGAAGTCGTTCACCTTGGCCCCCTAGCGCTAGGCAACATCTGTCGGGCACCCTGCCTCGGATACATCATACTGAATTTCATCAGACACCCTGTCTGCAGGCATACACCTAGGCCTCCCTAGCACTATGCACATCCACCGGGCACCCTGCCTCGGATACATCATACAGAATTCCACCAGACACCCTGTCTGTGATCATCGACCTAGGCCCCCCAGCACTAGGCAACATCCACCGGGCACCCTGCCTCGGATACATCATACAGGAATTCCACCAGACACCCTGTCTGTGATCATCCGCCTAGGCCCCCTAGCATTAGGTAACATCCTGCCTCGATACCGTCATACAGGCCTCTCGCACTGGGCAATTAAAACACCATCACACGTCGTCCACATCACGTCACTTTTCATATTTCCTGCTACTTGACCGCTACGATTTAACTTTTTTTTTTTAAAGATTCGCACAGTAAACAAAAACCCAAATAACTGCTTTTACTCCTGCTCTTGAACTCCTTCGCATCACCAGAATGAGGAAAATATTCCGGAATACAAGGTTATTTATTTCACAGCAACAAAATATGCAGCTCTTCTACATGTCTATATGTTTTATTATTATCCACATCCTTCATGACAGTCACAAAACGAATCCTGTGCAACATAACCAACATTCTCTATGAATGAGTGATTTTTTTCATTGTGGTATCGGTCTTCTTGTTTTCAATAAAAAAAAAATCGTCAGCCATCTTGCTGTATTTCTACCGCCGGGGGCTTGGGCTTCACCCCCGCTGATTTTTCTCTGAATCTCGTTTTCGCTGAAATTTAATTAGCAAATAAATTAGTTCATATTATTTACCTCAAGTAATGACTCGTCACTCCAATCTCGTCGCCAGGTGTAATAGTCTGATTAAAACAGGTGGTTTCCTTCACATCAAACAATCTTTATTCCCCGCAAGGCACGATCATCTCACACTCTGTCTCTCGTGTGTCTGTCCTTTTTCTCCTTCGTTCCCTTCTCCCGTTCGCTCTCTGTCATTACTGATTCAATGTTAATCTACTATCCAAGGTATGTGGATAATGATAGAACAGTAGAACCCTACAGTCACCTTAATCGGTACGATTTTTTTTTTAATTCTTTATTAAGGAGATTTTTAGCCTATGGCTAGTTCATCTCCGATCGGTACGAATTGTTACATAGGACAGGGGGAGTAAAGCTTTCCGTTACGTAATAAGAGAAAATAAAATGAAAATAACGATGTTTTGCATTAATTTATGTAAAGTTTGAAAATACAAGAAAAAAATAATGTGTTTTAATTTTCTATCTTGAATTTCTTTAAATTTCGTTAAACTTTGGAAAATCAGGTACCATGTGGTGCCCGCTCACCGCTCACTTTTGTAAGTCTCAGTCACCTCGGTCACCTCAGTAAGGAGCACCGACGTTTACCGATTGCAATGACGCGGGGCAAGGAATAATGGCACGTGACACACAGAAAAATAAAGTCCACAACCCTAATAAAAAATAACCATAAACGAACGATAACCCAAATCATTGAACTATTCCACAAATGGTTTGGATGATACCCAGAACACGTCGTTAAGCAAATTAACCATACAATTTTTATTAGGAAAGCACTTCGCTACTCAAGTTTAAAGATTTATTTCACTTTCCTGACAACTTTTATTCTCCCTCTTTTGTTTCTTAAAATTTCTATCTCCTCACACTTTTCACTGTTTCCACTATTAATTTATGTTTTCACGTTGGTTTGCTATTCAAATTAAATTTAAAAAATTAAATTTAGCTAGCTTGCTTGCTTGATCAACCGTTTTTGCTGGTGGTCTTACGATCAGTCATTATTAATTTGAAAGTTGAATTAGTCATTGGGACACTGCTCCAGGTGGCTCCAGGCTGTCGGCCAGTGACCCAGACACGACCAGTCGTGTAAATTGAAATAGCCCTCCACCTGGGATCGAAAAAGCAGTGTACTTTCTAGAGTTCGGGCTCAAAGGAATCTGAAGAAAGGCTTGTGATGGTCGTCAGATATTTGACCGGACCCAAATGACTCAAAATTATGTTCTGGTGCGGTAATCGGTCCTCTCATTCAATTTTCTGGCGTCTCAGTCTCACCTCTTGACTGTCCCTCTTTGCAACAGGCACTACTGGTAGAGCCCAATCTGAGTTAGATTGCTCAACGATCGCATGACGAATCATATCGTCCAGCACTCCTGCTATATCACTGGACTACATGGATACGGATTCTTTTTAACCGGATCTGCTTCCCTAAATTCGGTGCTCTGAAATTTCCAGGTTCTGGGACTAAAAACTCCTTTTTCACGTTTTCCAGTTGTATCTTCTGTTCCTCAGTTAGCTCATCCTCGACTTCGACTTCCCTGCTAAAACCATCATCTAAGATCTCAACTGTATCATCTCGAATAGTTGGTCTAATCCCAAATTTTAGCCAAAAATCGTAGCCTAGCACACACATACAGTTTAGTTTCGGAGCGATTAGTACAGGCAGAATTTTTGTAGTGCCATTGAAAAAACTCTCTTCTCACACTTTTCGCTGTTTCCCTTTCCACTATTAATTTATGTTTTCACGTTGGTTCGCTATTCAAATTAAATTTAGCTAGCTTGCTTGCTTGATCAACCGTTTTCGCTGGTGGTCTTACGATCAGTCATTATTAATTTGAAAGTTGAGTGAGTCATTGGGTCACTGCTCCAGGCTGTCGGTTAGTGACCCGGGCCATTTGTCGTTCATCGCCAGTTTGTCGTGCCCGTTATCCTCCATTCAAAATGGCCAAATCTATCGCCACCCTTCATGGCCTCCCAACAGGCAGGTGTTCGTCCAACTGGTGACAACTATCGGTGGGGTGGATTGTTTCGTTCTACGGTACAACACTCACGAACACTACCTGCCATTATTTTTCTACAATTTATCGGAACACCACGATAATCTAAAAAACTCCTCGAAACAAAGACGCTATCACTTACACTTTAAAGCAAAATCAAGTTCACATAGTTAGTAAAATTACTTTTCATAAATATATTGAGCATATTTTTGCACTAGCTTACAGATCATATCAATCATAAGATTGTGGATAAAATATAAAACATCCAAAACAATAATGTTAAAATTGATTTCGATACATATTAGTGCATGTAAACAGGGGTCCCATTCACCGCTCTTTTTACGAGATGAACGAGTTAAAAATCCCGCTAATAAAGCTTTAAAAAAAACATTCATCATAGTGGAAATATTTACTTTATGAATCATCGATCTTTTCTGACCATTTAACGCATTATATGGTGTTGTTGTATGGTTCGAACGAATACAAGAATATGGGTGGTAGCCATGACCAATCTTTACATCTACCTTAATTGCGGTTTTTTTTTCTTTTTTTGAAAGCGATAACACATTGACTTCCTTGTTTCCAACTCGAATGATTTTATTGGTCAAAATTGTAGTTATGTTGCTGATGGTATTATCAATTATGATTTATGTTCTCATATATTTAAGCAGGTCTTCCAAGTCTTTCCTTTTCGTTTATTTTTCATCAACCTGAAACTGATTCTTTTTGTGTACTATGCAATAATAGAACGCATTTGGTAACCAATAAATAAATCTAAAAGGCAACCGTTTCTAAGCAGAAAAGCAACATAATTCAGCAGTTCACACTAGCACTATGCAAAACTTTTCGATGCCATTTTCATCATTGTTTAGAAACATACTCTCTTCCCGTCAGATTTTAGCAATGTTAGATCAAGTTTTCTTCATTCGATCACAAATATATACAAACAGTATTCAAATCTATGCGGCTTGTCATAATTTCCACAAATATTGTTTTAATCTGTCCTGTGAAAGGTACTGTGAAATTTATGATTTCTTGAACAATAAAAAAAATAAGTGAAAACTAGCCTAAACTGCATAGAAATGAAGTTTATTTGTAATCGATTGGTTTTAACGGAGTTGGTTGGAATCTGAGTTTTTTGTTTACTTTGATTAAGGTGGTATCAGGAAAGTATAGCTGAAGTTTGGGGTGTTTTGAAAAATTCAATGGTTCTTGAATCTTAAAAGAATGTTGATGCAGCTATGCAAGGAGAAAAGAAGAAAATAAGGAAGGATGTTTACGATGTTTTCAAAGCTTTCAATTCCTGTAGAAGATCGGTTTCTGAATTCATCTTGATAATTTGTGTTTGTTCAAGTTTCTCGCCTCGTTCATTTTTCTCCTTCAATAGTTTGATGTCCTTTAGTTTTTTGTTAATCGTTTTAATCTTTTTGTCTTTTTCTGGATCTCCGCTTCCTTTCTGAACCTGTTTTGGTGTAGCTTGCGAAGATATGGTTTCTTCCTGGACCATTGAATTCAGATTCGGATTCGGAACTGTTTTTGGACGACTTTTCTTCTCCAGATTTCCGCCAGCCGTACTGTTTGCTCCAGCAGATACGACACGGTTGTTCTGTTGTCCATTAGTTGTTCTGATATTGTTACCTTGGCTGACAGCTCCATCGTTGGGTTTGGGTTTATTCTTATTTTTCTGTTTCTTGTCCTTGGCCTGTTGTACAGAGGAGCGGTAACCAGGTGGAAGACCCGGAATAGGCGCTCGTGCAGTTGCAGCAGCCGTAGCCGTTTCCCCACTGCCAGCGCTCAGACTATTACGCATTCCTGGTGGCACATACTTTTGCTTACTAGCTTGAGGTGTTTTGGATGCAATGCCTTCAATCTTTTCGTTTGATACTTTGTTTTCCTTTAATGTTCCTGGAGCATATTTTTGCCAGATAATTTCTAGCAGTTCCTGCTTCTCAGGCCAATGCGTTTCATGCAACAAAGCGCCAGTGTGGTGCCAGATTTTGAAACCATTAGACATTCGTAGTCTTGGAGCAGTCGTCGCCGTTAAGAATACGTCTCCAACTGGATTCCATTCAAGTAACGTTGTATCAGGAGCTTTGAGCTCAGTAATCTGCTTCTTTTGGTTTAGATCCCAGACTTCAATATAGCCCGGTAAGTTTCCAAAACCACCAAACACCAACAGATTGCCAAATTCATTGTAATAGATGGAGTTTCGATTTCCGGTTCCAAAATCGAAAACGACGTCGCATTTCAAGTTGAACAACGTCGCTTTCGCCGGCATGAAGCCATATACAACGCAGAATTCAGTTGAACGTGGGCTCCATGCAACGGCATGTAACGATCCTTCGGTATTGAGCTGAACGGCAAACGAGTCTCCTTTGACAGTCATGAAATGTAGCGCTTGTTTTCCGTAGTAAGATACACCAGTTTGATCGACATCTGTACTAGTAAGCAATAATACTCCGGTACCTTTTTGATTCCACAGCATTTCAACCTTATCAGCCTAGAAATATGAAACATACGTAACATTCACAGTATAGGTATATTTTGTATGCTAAAAACTAACCTGAAAAAAGCTTTTAGATGCAACTGGTTGATTTGCTTCCAGATTTGGATAGCGGAAAAGACGACACATTGACGGTGCTCCTTTTGTACCCGGTACGTAGAATGCTACATACGGTGGGCTTGGACCAGGAGACACCGAAACTCCTCCATTCCTTGCTCCTCCAAGACGTTTGGTAGGCTTCGTAGGAAAATCGTCATCTGGTTTTACCTCATAGAACAACACCTCACCACCGACCATCAAAGCAGCAAGACTCTCGTCCGCTGCCCAATGCATCTCCCAATCAGCATGACGCTTTTGGATTGTTGAAAACACTTCTCGTCCGCTGGCCACATCGTATAGGAATAAATTCGGCTTCTCTTTAACCTCGTCCTTTGAGTTTTCTGTGTAGATTTCCCACGTCATCAAATAGGTGCTTCGGGGTGAGAATTTGAGGCAGAAAGCTTTTGGCCGCGGGAGTTTGTGCAAAACTTTCCAGTTGGTAGCCGTACAGATCTGAACCGTGGTGCCGTTGGCCCATGCTAGAAATCGACCATTAGGACTATAAACAATAGCACGACATAATTTGCTCTCATCCCGAGCAAATCCGGTGTCCGGAACATACGGAGCCTTGAATCCCTCCGACTTCCATACCTCAACTCCGGTAGATGAGCGAACTACAAAAAGGAATAGGGAAAAAAAACATTATAAACAATCCGGTTTCCCTCATGAGGTAAAAGAATAATGACGTCAACACGCTCCGTAAATGTAGAGCTGGTCGTAATAAAACATAAAAAATACACTTCAGAAATACTATCTACCTATTCAAACCTGTGTCGGTTTGCTGCACAAGATTTATTTTTCAATATAAAATTAATATCAAATCCATACATAATACTTACTAGCCAAAGTAGGAGATATTCCGTTTGCCATTGTTCACAGTGCTCCTAAAGTACGATTTCAACTTTTCAACTAACCTCACTAAACGTCATGCACGTACCCAAAGTCAAAATAGTCTGCCAAGTTGAAGACTAAAATCTCACTGCCCAAATAAGCCTAACTCTCTTAATCACTCAATACGCCACCTTTGAATCGATAGTGAAAACTGCGCCTGCGCCACCTACATTTCGAAGAGATGATGACGAATGAAGAGATCACTGAAACAAAGATAATAGCACAGACAAACAGACATAACTCTGGCAAGTTGTTCATAGAACAAGCATTTAACGGACAATTTAAAAGAATCGTAGTTGGTAGTACCACCACCTGTTGCGCGCCTAGTCAATTCCCTTGCGTTTGACGTTTACACACTACCGCCATCTGTTCAACGTAGTACCCACCACAGTGTACTCCACAGATGGCGGTAATGTTTTAGCGACGATGTTTTACAGTGAGAAATATTCAACGAGTTATGTCTGTTTGTCTGTGATAATAGTTAGGAATACTATTTTGCAGAAAACACTTATTTTCAGTATAACTACGCTTAATACCGTTAAATATACCATGATTTCAGTATAGTTGACTATAAATATAATCAAATTAACTACCATTCTGTCAAAACTACTATGCTTACTCAAACGGTATAGTAGTTTCGATGGAAAAATTAGTCAAATTAAATGAATTTCGTTTCTGCACAAATCTATAGGTGGGAGTATTTAATTTAAACCATCAATATAGTATTTTTGCCAATGGATTTTGTTTCTGTGATGGATGGTTGCAAAATTCCAAATATATTATCAAATATGTATAGGCCTTTTTAATTGGAAGATTTCCGTAAAAGCTCAACGCAGATGTCGCCACTGCATGATGATGATAATGTTGACTTACTTAAGTGTCCTGAGCGCCATCCCTGGCGCAAAGGGCCAACGTGAAAGATCTCCATCCTGGGCGATTGTTTGCTTTCGCCTTGACCTGGGCCCAGGTCAAATTCCGGTCGACTTGCTTAATGTCCTTGTTTAGGCTTCGCCGCCATGAGCCCCTGGGTCTGCCTCTGCTGCGATGTCCGGCTGGATTCCAATCCAGCGCTTGTTTGCAGATTTCATTTCCGCTCTTCCGTAGAGTGTGGCCAACCCACCTCCACTTACGTTCCCGAATTTCTGTCGATATCGGCTTCTGGTGACACCGTCGATGGAGCTCGGCATTCGAAATCCAGTTGTGAGGCCACCAAGCACGAATTATATACCGCAGGCATCGGTTGATGAACACCTGCAGCTTCTGTGTGATCTCCGCTGATACGCACCATGTTTCGCTAGCGTACAGCAGTACAGATTTCACGTTAGAGTTGAAAATTCGGATCTTCGTGCGGAGACTAATCTGATTTGACTTCCAGATGTTTCGTAAACTCGCAAAAGCAGCCCTTGCCTTCTTGATCCGTGCACCTATGTCACTCTTGGTTCCACCGTCCGACGCTATCTGGCTGCCAAGATATTGGAAACTTTCAACCTTCTCCACTTCCTGACCAGCTACCGTAAAATTGGATGGATTTCCCGTGTTGATATCCAACGATTTAGTCTTGCTGACGTTGATGTTGAGACCTGCCGCTGAGGAGCGTTCGGCGAGATCGTCGAGCTTACTCTGCATGTCAGAACGCCGTTGTGATACTAAAGCAACGTCATCCGCCAAATCTAGGTCGTTTAGATGCTCCATTGTAATAGGCTGCCAGAGCAACCCACGGTTCGGCACACGGTCGATCGCACCAACCATTATCTCGTCGATTACGATGAGGAACAGTAGCGGTGATAGAATACATCCTTGCCTCACTCCAGCGACTACCCGAATAGGGTCAGATAGGGCTCCGTTGTGCAGCACCCTGCACGTGAAAGCCTCATACTGAGCTTCGATGAGGTTGACGATTTTATCCGGAACTCCCTTGGGCCTTAGGGCGCCCCACAGGTTTTCGTGGTTGAGTCGGTCGAAAGCTTTTTCGTAGTCAATGAAAACCAAGTAAAGGGACTCTTGGAATTCGTTGACCTGCTCCAAGATTATGCGGAGCGAGACAATATGGTCCACACAGGATCTTCCAGCACGGAATCCCACCTGCTGCCGTCGGAGAGTCGCGTCGATATTCTCCTGTATCCGGTTGAGGATAACTTTGCATAGAACTTTGAGAACACAACACAGTAACATAATGCCACGCCAGTTATCGCATACAGTTGGGTCCCCCTTCTTTGGGACCTTCACTAAGACGCCCTGCATCCAGTCAGCCGGAAAAGTCGCGGTGTCCCAGATATTGCAGAATAGTTGATGCAACATTTGTGCAGATAGCATGGGGTCAGCTTTGAGCATCTCTGCTGATATGCGATCGACCCCGGGAGCCTTGTTGGATTTCATGGTTCGGATAGCAGCTTCGATCTCCGGTAGGGATGGCGCCTCAGAATTGACGCGAGTGATGCGTCGCACTCTTGGCGGTTCATGCCGAGATGTTGATGGCTGGTTGACCGACGAAACTTGTAGAAGCTGTTCGAAGTGTTCAAACCAGCGTTTCAGCTGATCAGTGGGGTCGGTGAGCAACTGACCAGTCGCGTCCTTCACTGGCATCCTAGGATTCATCCTTGCTCCACTCAGGCGTCGTGAGATATCGTAGAGGAGACGGATATCGCCTGTTGCTGCGGCTTTCTCACCTTCATCGGCTAGGGAGTCCACCCACGCTCGCTTATCCCGCCTACACGAGCGCTTCACTTCCTTCTCGAGAGCCGAATACAGTTGGCGGGCCTGGTTCTTCGCTCCTCTGGTTCTCGCCCGCTCTATCGCGGCTTTTGCATTTCTCCGCTCCTCTATCTTCCTCCAGGTGTCATCCGTGATCCACTCCTTTCTCTGAGCGCGCAGCTCGCCCAGGTTGTTTTCACTCGTTTCAGTAAAGGCATCCTTGATCGCCGTCCATTGCTCTTCTACGCTGCCACCATCAGGAATATCCGCAGCTCTGGTCTCCAGTTCCTCGACGAATGACCTTTTTACTGCTGGATCTTCCAATCGGCGTGTGTTGAATCGCCGTCCGAGCCGCTCCTCCCGCCGCTGGACCCGCGCGATACGAAGGCGGATCTCTCCAACGAGGAGATGGTGGTCAGACGCGATGTCGGCACTGCGTTTGTTCCGAACGTCAAGAAGGCTCCTTCTCCATTTTCGGCTGATGCAGATGTGGTCGATTTGATTTTCGGTATGTCCATCACGGGAAACCCACGTGACTTTGTGCACTGGTCGATGGGGGAAGAGCGAACCCCCGATCACCATGTCGTTATTGCCACAAAACTCTGCCAACAGCTCACCGTTTTCGCTCATTTCGCCAAGACCATGGCGCCCCATGACACGCTCATAATCCGTGTTGTCGGAGCCGATCTTCGCATTGAAGTCGCCGATGTAGATCTTGATGTCACCTCTCGGAATTTTATCCACGACTGCATTCAGTTGACTGTAAAAGTTCTCTTTGTCCTGTAACTCGGCAGCATCGGTTGGCGCATAACATTGGATTATGGTTAGGTTACGAACCCGCGTTCTGAATCTGGCAACGATTATCCTCTCATTGATAGGTTCCCACTTGATGAGCGCCGCATTTGCTTGGGCGCTAAGCAGGAAACCAACTCCACGGTGGCGGGGAGCGTTTTCACCTCGAATACCAGAATAGAGTAGTACCTGTCCCGACGGCAGCTTGTGTTCTCCAAAGTTTGGCCAACGGACTTCGCTTAGTCCCAGGATTTCGAGCTTCATGCGTCGAGCCTCGCCGGCGAGTTGTGCCAGCTTCCCCTGTTGGGCTAGCGTTAGTACATTCCATGTTCCAATTCTTGTCCGTTGTTTTGCGCTAAAAGTCGTTGCCGTAATATCAGTCCGTGATCTTTCTCTATTGGTTTCTGTAACAGTTGTAAAGTTTCGGGGACAGTAGGTAGTTAGCCTAAGGTCTCCTATCCGCCGTGATGGGGCTGCCATCTTGGGTATAGCTTTCGGGGATAAGCATTTCTTGTTTCAGCCGCTGGATGCCAGGCAGACGCTGTTTGAGCCGCACCTCCATGGTGGACAGACGCTCAGTTATTGTGTAGATGGGGCTGCCATCTTAGATTTAGCTGACACAATACAGCATTTCTTATTCAGCCGCTGGATGCCAGTCAGACGCTGTTTGAGCCGCACCTCCATGGTGAACAGACGCTCAGGCGTAATATGTTCAGATAATGTTGACAGACTGCATATAAAATTCGTGAAAATTAGCGTTAAATCATAATTTTCATCAAGCCTGTGTAAAATTCTTCCAATATAACATTCGAATTGAAGAAGAAAACGTTTTTACGATCAAACTGATGTGCATCTTTGACTTTTCCAGTTGAACTTCCATAAGATATATTCATTTCATTTCGCGGCTCCAACAATGCTGCATCGTAAATATGATGTAAACAGAAGTAAATTGCTCAATTACTCAAAATAAAGATGATTTGTCATCTTGCTATCACTTTGAAGACCATCTAGCACCATTTTATAGTATGGTGCGTGTTGAGTAAAGCAAGTTCCGTTGCGTTTTCCGTCGAAAATTGTGAGTATCAATATTTTTGCTAAGAAAAGGCCAAAATGAACATTTATTGAATATTGGCGTCCTATACAACCAATTCTCCATTACCACCAGCATGATACAACCTTTCCTAAGTAAATTCACTTAATTTCCACTTTCATCCTACTGGAAATGCACATATTCACCATTTTCCGAAAAATGCAGCTGCGCAGGAGGTAACCTCTCCCTGTGGGTGCAAACTTGTTATGCATAATTCGCCATGATAACATCTCCGATTCATACCGAAATAATAACAAATAGTTTTCAAAAACGTTTTCTTACACGATTCAAGCAAAATTTTCCACGGGAAATTATTAGTTTTTCTTTATGGACCGATTTGCCCTAAAAAGCGTCTGTTTTACTTGGAAAAATTGGAAACTATCCTCTTTCTAGTAGTTCTCACTTCGAAATGTAGGAGGCGAAAGCTTGGAATAGTTTCACTGCAAGACGCCAATTAAGTGAATTTACTTAGGAAAGGTTGTATCATGCTGGTGGTAATAGAGAATTGGTTGTATAGGACGCCAATATTCAATAAATGTTCATTTTGGCCTTTTTTAAGCAAACATATTGATACTCACAATTTTCGACGGAAAACGCACCGGAACTTGATCAAATCATCTTTATTTTGAGTAATTGAGCAATTTACTTCTTTTTACCATCATATTTACGATGCAGCAATAATGGAGCCGTGAAATGAAATGAATATATCTTATGAAAGTTCACCTGGAAAAGTCAAATATGCACATCAGTCTGATCGTAAAAACGTTTTCTTCTTCAATTCGAATGTTATATTGGAAGTATTTCACGCAGGCTTCATGATAATTATGATTTAATGCTAATTTTCACGAATTTTATATGCACTCTAATAAAAAAATACCCATAAACGAACGATAACCCAAATAATTGAACTTTCCCACTTTCAGGAAGATACCCAGAACACGTCGTTAAGCAAAATAACCATAACAATTTTATTAGAGCAGTCTGTCAACATTATCATCATCATGCAGTGGCAACATCTGCGTTGAGCTTTTGCGGCAATCTTCCAATGCTGTCATGTTAGAATCAAACATCCATTTATGAGTAAATGTTAACCCATCTTCAATCAAAGTGGCACTACTAATTAATGAGTAATTTGTTATATCCATTATACTGTTAGCAGCAACTCATTATTGTTAAAATAATTTCCTCATTAATGAGTAAAGCCACTTTTATTGTAAATGGGTTAACTTTTACTCATAAAAGGGGATTTGTTCTTACCGTGCAAGCGTATGGTTTGTTTTAGTTTTGTTGTTTATTTTTACTTTCGAATGACAGTTCTTACAGCAAGCAAAAAAATTCTCACAGCTAAAAAAATCATCTCACCAATACCAACCCGCCTGGAGGGGACTATGCCGTCAACGCGAATGAGAATGAATTAACACGAACAATAATATGAAGAAGCAAGCAAACCGAGAAGGAAATTTATAGCTTTTGGTCCAAGTATATTAAATCCATTATGTTAACTTCTAGATTGAATATTGAGAGTATGATATACAATGACAGGCAGTTATCATTTTCTTTAAATTTTATTTTTACTTGGTTTGTTCAGTGATAGGTACATATTTTCTTAAGGTATGTGACATATTAATAGATACACTCGCATAGGTATGAAATATGTTTATACCTACAGCAATGTATATTTTGGTTGCCCACCCGAAAGTATATACCACTATAGTGAAGAAAGACAAGAGGCGAAAACGGAAAAAAATTGCGTTGGAGTCGAAGTGTGAAGTGGATTTTTTTGTAGTGATTTTCTTTTCAGTTTTTAGAAGTGAACAACTGTCTATAACGAAATAAAATGTCAGTTTCTGTGCTCTGAAAGTCGTGCTTTAAGTTTTTAGTGTGAAAATTTGGTTTCCGTTATATTTAATCGGTGTTTCCTATGTAAAACAGTACCATCAATTGTCAGTGAATTGCTGCCTTGTAAAATAAAAAGAAGTGAACAAGAGCTAAAGCATCGGCAGCTGGTTTCTAAAGCTCCATTTAGGAGTGCATGGGAAAAAGAGAGGCAAAGAAAAATGTCGACTAGTGAGATTGAAGAATTTGTAAATGGGGCACTTATTTCATGGGTAAGTTTTGATTTCATTGAAATAAATAATGTTAAAAGAGTTATTGAGGTTTTGAATGGGTACTGTGTAGATGTAAACAATAAAGCGCTTGACTAAGTATCGAGACTACTTGCAGTATTTTTTTTAACAGTTGATTAGTTTTTGTGTATAAAATTATGGATTAAATAGAATGTTATATATAAATAGGTATATATATCATCCGGTAGTCTTGAATAAAAACTACGAAAGACAACGAAGGATAGTTGGTTTACACTCAAAAAATAAATCACATTTCCAATGGAAAATATCCATTAGCATTTCACATAACTTTCATGTGATCTCATAATTGAGAATCGCACTACAAAATCACATGAACTTTATGTGTCCAATGAAGTTTATGTGATTTATCACAAGAATTCATGTGATCATATTAATGTTATGTGAATTTCAGATAAAACATCATTACTTTTGTTATTGGAAAAATATCATGTGCATTGGTGCTCAGCACGGAACACAAGATCGAGACGTAAAAGGGTCCTAATATAGTTCTTTTTCCTTAAATGTATGGTGAAAACAACTATTTTGAATGGTAATGGTTCTTAATATCCTATTATTTGTAAGGTTCACTTCCAAAAAACCATAAGGAATGGTCAATTAATTATGTCACGCAAATTTGCCCCCCCCCCCCCCCCCTTTTATCACATTTTTCCCTGATTGTAATGAACGAATAAAATTGTATTTTTCTTGTGTAATAATTGCTATTTACACATCCCTGTAATAAAACACTCGTTATAGACCTTTCATAATACTGTTACACTGTGGTGTTACATTCTTGTCTTCTGCGACACTGAAGATGTGTATGAAAAAGTGAACAGTGGACTACATTGTTAATATAATATATTTTATTTCCATCAAATCATCTTGATACCTTCGATGCACTGATTTATAACCTAATAATCTTGATAACTTTTGTGCAATTATTGCTTTCATGGGACCATGAAATGATACCTTTCATTTGGTGATTGTTGCGTCCAATTTGGTTCAGTGGTTGCTGAGACACACTAGTCACAATATTGTGTTACGCACGCATACACACACTCTATAAGAAGGGTAAAAACATGAATCATTGTTCACTCAGAGTGAAAAAGAGGTCTCAAATCTCGCGAATACTGTCCAAAACTGTCACTTGTGAATCGGATAGTTCCTTACAACATTTATAAAAAAAAATAACTTTTCAATATTTGCTTTACTAAAGTCTGATATTACAAGATGTTGAAAGGCCTTGGACATTCCAGTTGACAATACAAAACAATGTAAAGATATTTAAAAATGTGAATTTAAGTTAATTGTATGATCTTCACCTAATCATATTTGAACTGCATTTGTTCGTTAAGATGCAAGAATAGCTCAAGGATATATTTTCAAATAGTTTATTTATGGTTTTTTCAGTACACATTGAAACGTAAAAAAGTCGATAGTCTTAGCCTTCCCGCGCGTTCTAATATCACCATCATATTGGGTAAAATTCACAATGGTAATGCTAATAGCTTCGATAAAATGACGTTTTAATGTTTGTTCATAAAATCAGATTCCTACGCCTATTATAAAACTCTTTCTTGGAGGCGAACCAGCCTAAGGCTGAAAGCCTCCTAAATAAAGCTAAATTAATTAATTAACTCTTTCTTGAAATGCTTGTTACTATTATATTTATTTATTTAGAGATTTTGTTTTCTCTTCTTGACTGTAAGCAGGAATTACACGGATCTCCGTTAATAAATTACACCCAAAGTTACCAAACTTGAGAATGTAAAAGTCATACTAATACACTCATTCAATACCTCAATATATGTTTAACGATACGTTTGCTTGTTGTCTTACTAATTTTGTAATTTTTTTTTTTTAGATTGAATCCTGTTTGCCACGGGATGAGATTATTTCCGGCTATGTGTCACTGCTTGATGGGACAATTTTACACAGTGTTTATCTTCAAATTGATCCAGAACCGCAGTATCATCCGGTGAAATTGAAAAATGCTGAAGGACTCACGTTGTCTTCTGCACGCTCGAAAAACTTCGACGCTATTGTGAGAAATCTGAGGAATTTGTATGATGAAGAGCTAGGACAGACTATATTAGCTCTACCAGACTGCACCATATTGGGGCACTCACCGGAATCTCGAGGTGGACTGGAACAGATGAAACTTCTCATTACCTTGCTTTTGGGTGCAGCAGTACAATGTCCCAATAAAGAAATATTCATTGCTCGAATAAAAGAGCTGGACGTAGATACACAACATGCAATTGTAGAGGTTATAAAACAGGTTACTGATAGCCAAACTTTGGTGCTAACACAAGAGGCAATTGATCAATTACCCGCAGACATAATGTGTAAGCACATCGTGCGACTTGCTAAGGAACGAGATCAATATCATAGTAAATGGATGTCCTCAGTAATATTGGAAAATGATACGATGAACAGTTCAACATCCAAATCCAGTTTGCATAATTCCTCTTCTTCGATGACTAGTTCTGCCAATACACCATCTACGTCTTCGGAAAACAATCATTTGGCAGTGGAACTAGCAGATTTCAAATCAAAACTACGAAAATTACGCCAAGAATTGGAAGAGAAATCCGAATTACTGATGGAAGTTAAAGAAGAGCTTGACCATAAGTGTAACCAGTACGAAAAGCTGAGATCAGAAAGCCATGATTGGTACACAGAAGCTAGGCGAGCTGTTGCATACAGAGATGAAGTTGACGTTCTGAGAGAACGTGGAGAACGTGCAGATCGTCTCGAGGTAGAAGTGCAGAAGCTGAGAGAGAAATTATCCGACGCTGAATTCTATCGAACGCGGGTTGAAGAACTACGAGAAGATAACCGAATGCTTCTGGAAACTAAGTATGGCTCAGTTGATATACATATGATTATTTTATAAATATTTATTTTCGTTTGTTTATGAAGGGAAATGCTTGAAGAACAGCTACTTCGCTCTAGAAAGCGTAGTGACCAAGTGATGATTCTAGAGGCCGAGATAATAAAGTTCAAACAAATGCTAAATGATATGTCTCTAGAACGTGATGTCGATAAAAGTAAACTTCAAGAGCTCCTGGAGGAAAACGTCCAACTACAGCTGGCTACGAAAAATTTAATGGCTGGTTCTGAAGCTGCAGTGAATCTGAGTCATTCAGATACAGAAGACGATGTACCATCCAACGATAACAGTTTATCGGAACAATTGTCAACAAATGCTCAGGTAAGAGAAATTCGGAGTAGCAGTTATAACAATATAATACTAGGTCCAGACTGTAGCACATATTACGTAAAATAACAAATCTTGTTAACAAATGTCATGTAGGGTTGGTGTACCAGTTATGATATTATCCCATTTACGCAATTAGTTACGGCACTACTTCATACAAACTCCAAATGCCATAAGCTGCTTCATGTCATAACAGGTACATTTTTAAAGTAGTAATATAACTGGTACACCTCCATTATATGATTTGCAGGGAAAATGTATCGTATGAATGTTCATTGTAAGACAGCCCATATTCTTGTTCACTTTGTTCATCATTTAAAAAGTCAAAGGGTCTATTATGCAATCTAATTCAACCAGTCTGAAACCTTTAAACCTTATCGAAGAATTGTTCGACCTGAGTTGAAGAATTTCTCATGATGGATTAAAAAATCGGTTCATGGAACGTTGAACTACCGATTACACATTTATAACATTATTCCACACGTTAGTATCCCAAATGGTCACTACCCCGAATCCCTTGCGAAAAGCTATTGTTTATATATTTTCCTTATATATTAAAAGAAGGGAATATTCCCTTTTTTACCATACATCCAAAGAATTAATTATTTCCTTTTGTTATATTTTCAAAGAAGGGAAAACCCCTTGATCTATTAAGAAGTTTTTCTCTTCTTTTTTATATACGCGAAAGAAGATTCCAGGAGTGACAATAATAAACAAAAATAGTCAATCTAATACATGGCATACTTTTCTGGGGCATGGTTTTCTGGAGAATAGTTCATTCTGGGGAATGTCATAGAATCAAAAACTCGTTATTTGTTCCATATTAAAATCTACATTCATGTGTTAATCTGTGGTACTCCAGCCACTATATTGCCGCTCATGGCAAGTCCGTCCCATAGCACAAATCAGCAAGCCGCGTTTTATTGTTTTTTTTTTTTACTTTTCTAGAACAAAGTTGATGAGTATTATAAGAATATGGGTGATTAGCTACCATTTCCATTGAAAAAACAATTTTGTCAAAAACGCAAATGGGACCGACTTGCGATGAGCGGCAGGATAGTAGCTTACCAACTTTGTTTGGTATGATATATATTAGAGATTCTCCGAATAGTGTTAATCGCATGACGGGTTTTGATCTATGTCTGAAACTGGTCACTTTCCCCGGGTATCCGGAATATGCCAGGATGTGGCCAATATGGTCCTGGGCATTCTTTATCACTACCATTGAACTTGTTTTCGAATTCTCATGCTCTTTATGATATCGCATGCTGGATTTTAACCCAAGTCAGAAACTGGCACAAACACATACATACATTTTCCGATCTCGTCACTAGGCCACGGATCGAAAGTCGGGTTTTCACGCAGTGGTATACCCTGCTGAATTCGTTCGTAACCCTACCTACCACACTTAATGCTGAATACTTGAAAAAAAAAAAAATAAACAAAACATTCTTATAAAGAAAGCCAGAAGGATTAGTACTTCATTTAATACCACTGCCTTAATTGATAATCCTTGACAGATATGCGTTTTTTTTAATTCTTTATTAATGAGATTTTTAGCCTTAGGCTAGTTCATCTCTAAGACAGATATGCGTATTTCGTCTACAATTACCAGACTTCTTCAATGCATTGCACCAATACAGTTGAATATTAGTACAAGACGCTGAAAAAGTCTGCACATTGTAGCCGAAATACGCGTATCTGCCAAGGATTAGCAATTAAGGTAGGAAATTAAATGGAAATTCGTTTAACGCTAACGTTTCACATTTTATTTACAGTCACGTGCTTTAAAACTGGAACTGGAGAATCGACGACTTCTTGCAGCACTCGACAGTTTGAAAGAATCTTCCTTCCATGAATCGTCGAACAAAATACTGGAGTTGGAAAAAGAGAAAAAGAAACTTTCCCTACGTCTTGAACAAGTACAAGAGAACTGTAATCGGTTGGCACAACAGAACAGTGAGCTTGAAGGTGTTTTTAAAAATGCACTGGAAGAGAATAAAAAACTTCAAGATGCATTGGACGCCAAACAAGGAATCATAGACAAGCAAAGTCACGATCGTGAGTTAGATCGGATACGACAAATTGACTTTGAAAAGCAAATCGAAAGTCTAACCAAGGATAAGCAACGCGTGCAAAATTTGTGTGAAAGCATTCAGCGAAGGACGATAGATTTGGAACGCTCGATCGAGAGTAAAACAAAGGAGGTTCATCAACTAAATGAACGGTGTATTGAACTAGAATTGATCAAAAAGGAATCGTATGAAGTGAAAAACAAAGTGACATCATTAGAAAAAGAGAATGTTAGTCAAGGAAAAGATTTGTCTAAATATAAGGAAATACTAGAACAGAAAAGCGTTGAGCTAGATGATGCTAGCATAAGAATAGAACAGAAAGATAAGGAAATTTGCCAACTTATCAAACAGCGAGAAGATAGTATTGTACTAGATAAAAAAGTGCAAGAATTGGAAAAGCAAAACCAAGAGCTTTTGTCCCATAAAAAAATTCAGGATGAAACCATTTCAACGCTCAAGAAGGATCTCTACGATGGCACGCTGGCTAAGAAAAAAGTGAAACAAAACCTTGAAAGGCTTGGATTGAACGAAAGTGATATAGAAAAGACCGATTTGAATGTGGAAGTATTTGTAGAAAAACTTTGCAAAAATCCGGAATCATTCAAAACTGTTCGAGAAATTGTACTTAACGTTGGAAAAGAGTCCACAAAATCGGCTGACATTTGCGTGTTATGTCATAGGCAAGAAATTTATACAGTTGAAAAAGACATTGAATTCACAAATTATGAAGATTCAGCAGCTCCGAGTGAAATAGAAGTAAAATTGGATCAAATCAAAATCGAAAATGTTGCGCTCCAAGCAGCTAACGAATCTATGCAAGCGGAAAATGCTCGTCAAAAAGTTGAAGTGGCCACTCTTGGTTCACAAATTACATCTTTGAATACACAACATGTAGCATTACAGTTAGCTAACTCGCAGTTGGCTGCTGAAAAGGATATGTTAGTTAAGCAAGTAGAAGCCAAAAAACAAGCTTATGAATCGCTGCAGCATGATCAGATCACTCTTCAATGCCTTCATGAACAGTTGAGCAGTGAGTATGATTCACTGAACAATGAAAAAGAAATTCTGAAAAATTCCATCCGTGATTTGAAGACCGAAAATCGGGACATTAAAGAGCATGCTTTAGTGCTGGAAAAGCAATTGGATGATAGTAAAATGGAATTAGCTTCTATGAAAGATGGAACAACAAACCTGACAAATTTAAGAGCGGAGCACTCCAAATTAAAAGATGATTTCCGTTGCTTGTTCACAAATAGCGAACGATTGAAGCAGGAGTACAAAAATAGACAAGAACAGTATCGTTCATGTCGTTCGGAAAATAGTCGAATGAGGCTTCAGAATACCGAGCTTACCGGTGAATTGAGTAACAAGGTGGAGCAAATAACAAACCTTGAAATTGAATATACTAAAATGAATCAAAGATGTGAGGTAAGAAAATGTTGTCGTACTGTTCATATTATTCCGATTGCACACCGTCTTGTTTTTCAACTTTTAGATGCTGCTACAAATGAACTCTAGTTTAGATATTGATAGAAGAACCTTGATGGACCACGTATCACAATTGTTGGCTCAATATCATGAGTTGCTGGCACACTCACTTGAAGATAAACAACACTACCACGATGAGGAAAAGAGTTTTACGGATCGTGTGAACAACCTACATCGTCAAAAAGAGAAGCTCGAAGAAAAAATAATGGAACATTATCGCAAACTGGATAGTTGCTCACCAAAAAAGTATAGTTTACAGCTATTTCACCTTGGTTCATTCTTAATAATTTCAATTGTATTTTTATAGGAAACCATTTGGATTAAATTTTGTCAAGAAGGTGCGAAAAGCTGGATCAGAGTTGATGAATCGAGTGCCCAATAGGGTAATGCATAAACTAGCTGAGCTTAAATGATGTCTTTATGTCTCAAATGCGCAATTTATTCTTTCAGAACCGACGCTCATGGGTAGATGAATCACGACTTACCCAATCTCAATTCACTCTTGGGTCAGAATCTGGCGGAAATGAATCAGATAACAGTATAGAAGAGCCAAACTCCGTTGCATCGGATACAAATTTGTTGCAGCGAAACTCTGTAATTAGACAAAGTTTGCAACGAAAACCTAATAATGAAGCGTTGAATACTAGCCTCCTGAGAGGAGGTATCCGGAGTAGTTTGCAGGCATCTCGCAGAGATGAAGTAAACCAGTCCCACAGGAATAGTTTTCCTGGGTAAGTAGAGATTATTGTTAAAGGTGGGAGTAAAGTGAACAACATAGGTTTTGATTTTTTTGAAACTTTGCATGTAATGACTATCCGCACCCGTAGTCTATTCTATAAAAAATAATGTTATAGGATTGAATCACTATTAAATGTCGATTAAATAAATAAAACATGTGAAACAAATGAAAGTTCTGCTGATCACAAATGAGGGAATTGGAAGGAAAGGGGTGTATTTAAGTGACTTTGATCGATTCTCTTCATCGACTTTCTCTTTCGTTAATAATTCAGCTGCTAGATAAAACATCCTTTACCAAACTATGTGGGAGAAATAGCGCAAAATCTGTTTATAAAGTTGTGGCTATCAATAGAGAAAGTCGATGAAGAGAATCAATCAAAGTCACTTACACCCCTTTCCTTCTAACCCCCTCAAATAAGATTTAATCATATGTCCTGCAAAAATGATACAAATAACAATCGTTGTACCGTGTCCCACTCAAGAGCATTCACGGAGATCAACTAGCCAAAGGCTAAAAAACTTCATAATAAAGAATTAAAAAAAAAAACTTAAGAGCAAAATTATGTTTACATCGCTAGTATAATAATGTATATAGGTGCATAGAGAATATGTTTACTCTATTTCAGCGTTAGAAAAAATCGCGATATTTCACGAAGTTCACCAAGGGAAAAGTTCGCGAGTCATAGTGAGTTTTGGTGAACTTTTCCAACACTGCTCTATTTATTTGTTTATTTGTTATGGTTGCATCAACAGACTAAAAATAGTCCCAATGATGTGTTGTAAAAAAAGTACAGATTATACAGACGACATACATATACTACAGTTACTACTGTTACAAACGAAAATAACTAGGAAAGCATTGTCAAGTTACTAAAAATTTATAAGTCTTAAATTGTTCAATTAGCTGTTGGGCATCAAGCGCCTTCGGTCAGTAAAAAAGGCAGAGAATCTTCGGCGAAGCATATTCCGTGTCAAGTGGAAATCGAACATCGACGCTACTCGGTTGAACACTCGCTGCAAGTCGTAAATAGCGCTCCCTATGCTATAATTAGTTCGAAGAAGTGGAAGTCTCAGCATAAGACTGTTGCGTAGTGATCGAGGTTGAACATTAATGTTCACTTGTTGCAGAATTGCTTCGCAGTCGATTCTTCCTTGCAGAGTATCGGCGACGGTTAAGGCTCTGAAAACATCTCTTCCGATACGTAAGGGCTCGATATTGATCAATTGGCAGCGATTCTCGTAGCTTGGAAGACGAAGTGGGTATCTCCAAGGCAGCTTACGGAGCACGAAGCGAAGAAAACGTCGTTGAACAGATTCAATTCGCTCGGCCCCATTATTGTAGTTCGGGCTCCAGACAGCAGAGCAGTATTCCAACGTAGATCGTACGAGAGAGCAATAGAGTAAATGTCCGTGAAGTTCTTAGTAATGAGCATGAGCATGAGCATGAGCATGATTGACCGCCCACGGTTGCTGCTCTGTTATTACCAGATCAGCTGCAATTACACAGAGAACCAACAGATGATGTTTGGGACTAACATTCATCTTCAATGTGTAAGAACTGGAGATCTAATATTTAGCAATACCAGCGCCGGCCGTGTCCGAATGCAGGTCAACTAGGGAATGGAAAGGAATGTGTTGACGTGGTTACTCGTTGTGAAGGAAACCGAGAAATCCTCTGCGCTTCCACGAGAAATCACTGGGATGTTGGATGTGGGGGAAAGGTTGCACGCACACGCAGGGATCGTTTTTGGTAGAGCGATTATAATACACAAACACACACACACACACACACACGCGCGCGCACTCATCCAATTTCTATTTTTAGATCAGGACCAACACTGTTGGTAAGTGATGCGATTGGTATTAAAGAAGAATTTGTTTTCATTAAAATCTAGTGGGTATAGAAAAGTGAAAAATTGCAAGGAAGGGGACGGGCCTGGGATTGAACTCCCGACCTTCTGCTCAGTAAGCAGAAACGGTAACCACTGAGCTACCGAGCCTCGTCTTGTCCGTGAAGTTCTTAGTAATCTTGAAGACAAAGTCAAGCGTTCTGGACGCTTTGTCGACGACATACGATATATGGTGTGAGTATGTCAGCTTTGAGTCTAGAAAAACGCCTAAGTCTTTCACGCAGTGCACCCGTTCGATAGTCGTGCCTAGTAGTTTGTAGTTGAAAATAATCGGTTGTTTCTTGCGTGAGAAAGTAATAACTGTACACTTAGCTGGGTTGACCACCAGTCGGTTTAGACTACACCAGTCAGCAAAGATATCAATCTGATTTTGGAGAGAACGGCAGTCGGCGAGTGAGCGGATGCGCAGAAAAACTTTCAGATCGTCTGCAAACGATAATCGTGGCTCTGTGATAACATGGTGAACGTCGTCGAAGTAGAGGAGAAATACCAATGGTCCCAGATGGCTACCCTGAGGTATACCGGACTTTGCGCAGAAGCTTGCTGAGCGACAAGTACCCAAAGTTACTGTCAATTGGCGCTCCGTGAGGTATGAACGAAACCATCTCAAAAGATTTCCACCGATCCCTAGCCTATCAAGCTTAGCGATCGCAATTTCGTGGTTCAGCTTATCGAAGGCTGCCGTAAGATGTGTGTAGATAACGTCCGTTTGGGTCCGAGCAATCAAACTGTCTGTGATGTAAGACGTTAGGCACAGCAGGTTCGTAGTTGTGGAACGCCCAGTTATGAATCCGTGTTGATCTGTACTTAGATATTGCTTGCAATGCGCATTTAGGGACTCTATGACAACCAATTCAAAAAGTTTTGATACAGCACTCAGCGACGTGACTCCCCGGTAGTTGTTTACGTCGCGTTTGCTTCCCTTTTTATGAACAGGAAACATATCCGCAGTCTTCCAGCAAGACGGAAAGATGCCGCTGGAAAGAGAGAGCTGGAATATGCGGCGCAGTGGATCTAAAAGACAAGTTATGTTCTTTTTAAGAATAATCGACGGAACACCATCGGGTCCAGCCTTAGTTGAAGTCTTAAGTTTAGATGCTGCTCTAGAAATCGTATCTGTAGTGGCTTCGACCATGCTGAGCGTTTGGTTGATCAAAGGAACATTACTGGCCGCGGAAGTAATGATATTAGCGGAGAGTTGCTCGGCTTCAAACACACTAGCAAATTTGGCTGAGAACAGGTTGCAAATGTCTTGTTGATTTCCAGCAGTTTCACCATTAAAAATCATGGAAGAGGGTAAGCCGACTTCCCTGCGTTGCTCATTTACGAAGTTCCAGAAGGATTTCGGGTGTGATTTTAGCCGCCTTTGAATCCTCCTTTGATAGCGTTGAAAACAGAGACGACTTAACCGCTTATACTCGTGGTTGAGTCTGACATAGTAGCATTTCAGCGGCAGTGTGCGTAGTTTAGTAAATCTTCTGAGAGCAGCCTTCTTAGTTCTTTTCAACGAGCGAAGATCTTTCGTCATCCACGGGACGCGAGAGTCGATATGGATGATCTTTTTGGAAACGTGTCTGTCAATGACATATGCCAAGACGTGAGAAAAGGTTTGTGCTATCTTGAAGGTCATTATCATAGAAGAACGAAGAAAAAAAAATTGAGACTCATTAGCAAATGCAAACAAGGGTTCCATTCACCGCTCATTCCATAGTGGATATATTTACTTTTAGAAATTTTTACATTTTCTTACATTGAGCATTCACCATTGAGGCTTAAGATGTTGATTGCACAGTCGCATTCCTTATGAAATTTCGGTTGTAATGACTATTTTATGTTTATCTTTAAAGTGGGCGGTAAACGAAACCCTCTATTGAGGTTGGGTCTCCATTTACCGCTCATATCGATGTAAGCAAAAGTTATTTTTTTCGACAATAATCAGTACAATAATGTGTATAACGTTACAAATCATTAGCAGGCATCGGAGATTAACTAGCCAAAGGTTAAAAATCTCCCCAATGAAGAATTAAAAAAAAAAAATATTAAAAACTCTTGTAAGTTGCTGTAAGAAAATCATATGCTACAAAAAGTATGGGTATATTTAACAAATCGGGTTTTTATTAACTCATGCGTTAACGATTTACATTGTTGGAGACAGTGATGGCATAATCATTTGCAAATTGATATTTTGCCACTCTCATACGCCCTAAATATCACGCGTGATATTGTAGCAAAATATCATGCTTGATATTGATTTTACAAGCTCCTTTGATATTCACCTCCGTCAGCAAAATACAGAAAAAAGGAGGGGCATAAAATGCTAATACAAATCGACAGTGAGCATGCATAAGGGCGTATACGCGATGATCGATTCTCTTCATCGATTTTTTCTTTGCATTATTACAGCTAAGCGAATCAATTTTCTAGAATTTGTTCAATTCAGAGTTGAAACAGGTTGTATTGGCTATCAAAAGCAACAGCAAACGCACCGAGAAACGTTAATTCTAGCGAGTTATTAACAAAAGAGAAAATCGACGAAAGGAATCGATCATCGTGTTTACGCCCTTATGCATGCTCACTGTCGAAATGCTCAAGTAAAGGAAACGTAGCAAGTTTTGTTGTACATTACACTGTTATACAAAACCACCCAAACCATCGGCCCTTTTCAGGGCCACCACAACTTTCTACAAAAGAAAGTTATGAAATTCACTTTATTCCAAAACAATATCCGGAACAACAAACTATAAAATAGAACAAAAATTTCGTAGTCCTAATAAATAAATACCATAAACGAACTGTATGCCGGATGGGTAAACTATCCCACAAATGGTTTGAATGATACCCGAACACGTCGTTAAGCTCTCTTTTATGGTTATTTTTATTAGGGAGTCCACAATGCGGTCGTGTCTTGTACACCACCCTCAAAATTGATGTATCTCAGATTCTATTTATTCGTTTTGTAATGTTTTTATACCGTTTGAAAGGTTATTTCCTCTTACTAATATGTTTGTCACACTTACTGTTTTGGTTATGCATCGTCAAATCCAGATTATTATTTTTTAGCAATAGTTTCAGAGGCTGGAATTTAGTAGTGCAGTTAAAAATTCGATTATAAGCATTCTACTAGATAGTTTTATTAGCTTTGAGTAAAAATTAAACAAGGAGAAATCATTCATTATTAACTTGCTCAAACGGCTTGTCGACATGCAAAAAATAATCATTAATAAAATTAAAAAAAAAAACATTGGTAGAATTAACAGTTTGCGTTGGTTCTTTTTGGTAGAAAGTCTTTAGAATTTAAAACAAAAATGCGCCTACTATCAATTCAAAAGTTACACGCTTGATCGCGCACCGAACTTTGTTTCCCTACGTTGTGATATATTTAATAGATAAAAACAGACCGACTGTTGGGCCATCCTGCCATGGTGGAGGCATGCGAACTATTGGCTTTTTATTTGTTATCGTCTATCATTCAATACAATATTAAACAGTACAGAACAAGACTATAGACACTGTATATACAAGTAATGACATCTGTGTGTGGATGGATACATCTTTAGTGTTGTAACGAGGTTACAAAAGTATCCCACCTATCCTTTATATAATCTGGCATCACTTAGTTTAAAAAAACCGTTCTTGGTCACTGAGTTCAGTTGCGGTTGGTAACTTAGAGCAGATCTGTCAAACTGATTAAAAATGGGAGTTTGTTTAGCCCACGGGAAAAATACGTCCGAGTCCGAGCCGAACTAACGAATGCCCTCGGGTATTGTAGCTCCCTAGAGGGTAGAGCCATGATTGTTCCAGATGTGTTCTTGAAAAGCTTTCCAACCACGAGACAGTGAACAAGGTAAACATAGGACATAGTAGATCAATAGTAAGGTGGCAAGTAGGGAAAGTATAAGTTAACGAATAAAATTAACGGTCAGACAGTGAGACATACCAGGCAGTTAAAGTGACGTAAAAAGCATACACGGAGAGCGATATATATACATATAACTTCAGGAATACTAGCACCTTCGTTGTTTAGTGTACCACCATACTCCAGGAAAATCCTTCAAACGAAGGTCCTACCCTTAGGCCGTAAAACCCTACCGTCTACCCTCGGTGGAAAGTTGTGTGTTGCACGTGTCGACTTCCGACGTGCAACCCCGCTCGACAGCGCTCTGTCGGCCTAGCTGGTCGAATCCCGTCGTCCACGAGCATAAAACCCTGCCACCTCGTTGTCACCGCGCCAAGTCGGCATATTTAGAAAAAAAAAGCTCCCCACTGCGAGCCATCCATCGACTAACATCAGTCTCGCCATCTTGTGCTATACCACAAATAAAAGCAAGTTGAAAAGGTATTTGCTACACCTACCTGTCACCATCATCGCAGACACCAACCAACATGCAACAACGCGCGCAACGAACATCACCCAGCAACATTGAACAGTGCCACATCCAGTAAGTGAAGCCCACTAACCCTAGCTAGGAAGCAATAAATAATGTTGAAACGAATTCGTTAATTTAAACTGCATGTCCTTAGTAAACCGTGGAATCTGTGTAGTGCGAGGCTGGATTTGAGACACATTTGGAACAAATAGTTTTTTTTTCCGTTAGTAGATCCCTGTAGGAAAACCATCATAGGAAACCCCACTTGCCGATGATTTTTGTCTTCTCCCTGTTGGTAATTTATTCGTTTGTTGGGTTCAGTGCAATTCTTGCCGCCATTTGTAGGATTTTTGATAAACCTGCCCTGAGGTCTCTAGCCGGAACGGGATTTGGTTTCTGAGAACTTGCCCCTTCACGGTAACCTAGTGTTACCTGGCGCTTAAGTGAAGGCCGTGATTTTCCTCTTTCGCTAAAACACTCCCGACCCGTTACAGTGTGTAGGGTAGTTGCACATATGTTCGACGTGTGCCCAAACACCGCTCAATACTTTTAAAAGTTTAAACTATCAAAACGAATTGTACTTCTTTCAAAATAAAAGCATTGCAGTGTTGGTATTAAAATTGGATTATTATCAATTCAAAACAAAATGTTATCATGAAAGTGTGGTATAATTGAAATGAGTTTTTTCACTCTGAATTGATCAATTAAAATATTTTCAATCTAAATACCAGCATTTGCAGTAAGGCAATACTTAAACTAATTTTTGACTTTTGAATTTCAAGCTCTAATTTTGTCTTTGCTGCTGAGATATTGCAGATACTCGTGATGCACTGATGAATTCAGCCAGTAGGCATCAATGGTTTTGGAGACATGAATTGGTTTCCTTGACGATTGATAATCCTTGTATCTGTGAACATGTTGAAGGGTCTATGATTAAAAATCTTTCATAAGTAATATATTACATCTACAGTAAATATGATGCACATTGTACAGTCCGAAGAACAGTCAAATCTGGGAAAAAAAATCCGGGAAAAGCCTAGGGCTTCACTGTTTTTTGGCAGTAATTGATTACTATTTTGTTTGTATTACTTCTGCGTGAAGTTAACGATTTACATAGTTTAAGATGCTGATTTCAAATAACATTCTAAAGTGGTAATCTTTATACGATAGATGAGGAGATGAAAGTTCCGTTAAAGTCCGGCAGTGTGAAAATTGTATATAGAGAGTAGAAAGTGAACAAGGACAACTTTGATGAAAGTACGAATCGGGTTGATCATCTCTACCAAACTCTAACTGGGGAGTTTGGTAAAGAGAGATGATCAACCCGAGAAACGTTCCTCTTGGATCGTTTTAAGGTAATTCTGTAAAGCCTCCCTAATAAAGATAAATTAATTAATTAATTCTGTAAACAGTGAAGCTAGTAAGCATTTATAAAGGTTGTTTAAAAATGAAAAAAACACTTGCTTGGATCGTCGAGTAGGGCCACTCATAGAAAGCTAAAAGCGGAAGCCAATTTTAAGGACAGCGAGAAGCCGGTTGAAGTTATGTTTCGGAATGGATTGATAAGGCACTACTGTTGGTTCTATCTTGTTTTGTTTATTTATCTTCAAATTTTGCGGCAAAATTTCAGTGCTGCCAAAAGTGTAGAGGTATTTTTAACAGTTAAACAATTTTCATTTTAAAAAAAATGCAGTTTTAAAATTACGAGTCATAAGTGAAAGAAAAACTTTCAAACCAAAAAAATAACGTTCGTTTTGATTATTTTCGTTGTTCAATCCTCGGTTGAAACTATGAAATTTGAGGAACTTTCAATTCGAAAGTGCATTATTTTTATAACAACAATTTTTGTTCTTTGTGTGTACCGACTCGACAAGGGCGAACCAGCCTATGGCTGAAAGTTAAAGGAAGAAAAAAACTGACTCGACAAATAAAATAAAAATAAAAAATAGAAACAGAAATAGAAAATAACTAACTGTTGTACCAACTAAAAATCGTAAATTTTACAATAATTAGTACATTTATGCAATATCGAAGCTTCAGAAAAAGTATTAAGACTTGAAAACTGGTCATATTTTAGTTTTAGTAGCCAGTTTCCTTAAAATAAAATTTAAAAAAGCAAGTAAGTTTTGCTTTTATTGGAGAGAGATGATGTTATTTTATAGCAACTCTCTTAGTAGCCGTTAACGTTGGCTTCATTTCATACTGCTAGTTTATATGATTTTCAAACCGAATGTCAAGCTTCCATCAACTTATAGATAGAAAGTTCGTTTTTAATGAACTTCATCCATCGTTTATATGTAACTAGTCCCAGAAGGTCGTTAGATATGGCTGGCTTGGGATTTTTGTCCCGGCAGAACTTTCTAGTACCAACCACCATGTGGTATCCAATTCAACACGCTAAAAACATCCTACACACAGAAAAATTGATTTTTGTTTCAGGGCGTAATGTATTTTGTTATTGATTCAAACATATTGTATTACTATTTAAAAAAAAACATATATTTGAATCAACAAAATGGTTTTTAGAATCAACAAGCAGATTAATGATTCTACAACCGGTTTGTTGATTAAAAAAATATTTGAATTAACCGAATAATAGGGGGAGGAGGGGCATATTGAGGATCCCGCAGTTTGGCCCTGGATCTCTAGCTGCATGAAACAAATCAATTGGTAGTAGGTTCAATATCATTATGATCTTGATCCTACCACCAATAAATTTGTTCCAAACGACCGGATGTCCAAGCTGGTGCACGGGATGCTCACTATGCCCCTCTTACCCCTATATTTGAATCAATACCAAAAATATATTAGGCCCTGAGCCAAAAATAAATCCATTTGAATTTAAAACTCATTTCTCTGCCATGTATATATCCGGTAGCGGAACTGGGTGTAAAATGAACAGGTAGTGTAATCACACAAAAATAGGTAAATTCAGTTCCAAATCTAGGTACAGTTACCATATTCGAAGAGTATCTTTAGCTGTTGAAAACATCATGGGCTGACAAGAAGCTGTTAAATACGAAGAAATTGTAACTGTCCCTTGCCGAAACAGTTAACCCAACAACTCGCAGAAGCAAGAGATTCCTCGAACTGGGCCTCAGAGTCGGCTTACTACCGGGTGATCAAGGGACGTGATAGAAAGTATGAACACCAGGAAATTTCACATTTATTAAAAACATTCATTGCCCTTTTCTTTAACGATGATTTCTCGAAAGTCATGGCTCTCCCTGGCAAATCGACATCACCATCGAGTAGGGGAAGTCTTCCCCTACTCGATGGATTTGTTGGTTTGTGCAACCGTGTCTTGAATTCATAGAAATCAATGAGAGAAGTCATTGTTTACAAAAGGTTGTTACGTCCTAATTCCAGCTCTATCTAGAAATGTTTATATAAATTATTGTGTATTTTCAGATTCGAAACTACTACAGATACATTGAATCTTGGAACTGCAGGAACACGACGTACAGTATATTTAATGGATGGAAAAGCAACTAATGCTACAAACTCGGGATCTAGTACACCGACCGGCGTAGCTGGATTATCAAGTTCATCTCCTCCAGCATCGCTAACTTCACCACCATCAGGATCGGGTGCCACTCACGCTCAAGCAATGTCCAGCGGTCAGAACATGCAAAATAATACAAATTCCAGTAACTCGACAAATAATGCCACAAATAACAACAATAACGACACGTTTCTGTTGCTTAATCGAGTCTCCACTACAACAACACTTAAAACGACGGAATCTAGTTCCGTTCCACAAACCATGGTAGTTAATCCACATCCTTCTGGAAGTCCTTCGAACACGACTTCTGCAACCGTTGTCCTCAACACTGATGATGCGAACAAGAAAGATCCAACCAATAAGAAAGCCAAGAATGAATCGAAAAACCGCGATAGTGCAATTTGGTATGAGTACGGATGTGTTTGATAATAGGTCATGATACCTTCTGTAAAAATGAGGTATTTCGTCTTTGTCGTGCAACTCGTCACTGCACCATCTGACCATTTTTGTTTTTAGAATCAGGCAGTTTAAAATGCATTTATTTCAAAAAAAAAATCACAACACTGTTTTCCATGACATTCAACACGCAAGAAAATTGTATTTATAGAAAACAAGTAGACTGAAAAAGAACGTATTCCACGAAAGAAGGCTTAAACATGTAAATCTAAGGAAACAGAATATTGTTGGTACTAAGAAATAGAATTTTGTAAATGCAACTCCTTTCTCATAACGCGAATCGTTCCAAGGAGTAAGATAGCACAAATGTGTGACCAATACAACGACTGTAAAAACGAATAAGATAGGCACCAAATTAATTCATTCGACTTGACTCAAAAGATCTGATTATGGAAATATTCAATATAAGTCATTCATTGTTTGAGAAATAAGAAATGGCGCTTTATATTGTTATGCTTTTTGCCGATTTGAAGCTTTTTTATTATAAGACAAGGAATACTACTAGAAATTATGTATAAATGTGATAAAACTTAAACGTAACTGTTAACCATGCTAACGCTAGTTTTAAGACAAATTTTCAAATTAATTTAACATTTTGGTGTAAATAAATGAAATCCAACAAATTATACGATAAAGAAAAAAAAACATGTATAAACGAAAAATCATTATTCATTAACGTTTAAAATAGTACTTATTGTAGAGTTCTGTCTTAACGTATTAATGAAATGCAAATATATATATATAAGCTACTTCATAAAAATTATCTCATATCCCTTGATATTTATGTACCAAGCTAGGGTAGTGATGTATCAATATAATAAAATTGATCTTACAAATCAAAGTTCTACATAAATTTTATCCCTTCGTCATCCATTTAAACAGCGGGAGATCAAAAGACACTAATTTACCACAGACAATCACAAGCTGAAATGTTTCTTAGTTGGTAGCACCACCACCAGTGGCGTGCATAGTCAATTCCCTTGCACGGACGACTTAAGAGTCTACCCGTTGAACTGTCAAAGCGGCTACTTATCGTGCAAAGTAAACAAATATAGCGGTGCTATGAAAGCACCTACAAACCGACATGACACTTAAGGGGGGAAATACAAGTAACACGTCAAAAACTCGACGATTTTCGGAATTTTTTTGTGAGCAAATGATACAACGCAAACGTTTGGGGTTTTTTTTTTGCATATATTCCTAAGTCTTCCTCTACATTTGAGATTTTATTCATTGGTGTGTGACCTCTGTGGCTCCTTGGGGTTACATCGGAAGGAGATCGCCTCCGGTGGGGATTAGCAATTGGCGGACGTTCTAGAGACCTGAAAAATGGACAAAACTTACTTTTATCAATTGGACTTTATTCAGAAAAGATTTTTGTTCTATGTGAACCTCTAAAACCCAAAAAAAACAATTTAAAAATTTAGAAAAAAATATCTGAAAAAATAAGTTGATTTTTCACTGTTTTTTTTCCCCCTTTAGGCAGACCTGAAAATTATTTATTGTAAATTTTTTCATGATATCAGTGGTTCACATAGAGTAAAAATCTATTTCCTTTAAGATGCGCCAGGTTTCAAGTCATTTGGATGAGCACTTTTTGAGTTATCTTTCCCGCCAATTTGGAAAACACCCTTTCGAGAAATAAAAAAACTGGAACTTACGGTTAATCGGCGATACCGGGGCCATAGATCACTCCTTCCTCGTGCTCGTAGCATTTTTTAAAAAAAATTAAAGTAAAATATAAAAAATCGATGTAAAAAAAAAATTTTTACTTGTATTTCCCCCCTTAATTCTGACTTATACCCGAAAATCTTAAACGGCCGATTTAAATGTGCAGTGATCCGAACTGTCAAAACCATAGGATTTTTTGATCTAGATAAAAATAATTTGTCCAGAATAGATCAGACACAAACCTATTCATAACTTTTGCATGTGGGTTCATGGCTCAGCTAAATATTTCCCGCGAAAAAGGAGCCAGATGTCAGTAGTGTTTTTTTTTATTAATTAATTTATTTGTACAGGCTCAATCGAATAAACTTTACAGAGCCAAGTTATCATTTGCGTTATACATAATTGATGTCTTAAGTCTAGATTTAAAGGAACTGAACCGATTACTCGCGGTCATCTCGAGGTTAGTAGAGATTTACAGTTGTATGGATGGGGAGAGGGAGGAGGAGGTTTGAGTTATGATTTACGATACAAATATTTCATTATTCCTAAAACATGAACTTATTCCTATTCAATTTGTGTAATGATACAATTATTACAGAAACAAACATTATAAAAAACCCACACGAACAAAACAAAAACTAAACACAAGATTAGTCAAACTTACAATCTAAGGTTAATATTCTTAAAGAAAACATATATAAGTTTCACAGACAAACAGACATAACACTCGCTAGTTGTTCATCGAACAAGCATTTAACGGTCAATTTAAAAGTATCGTAGTTGGTAGTACCACCACATGTGGCGCGCATAGTGAATTCCCTTGCGTTTGACGTTTACACACTACCGCCATCTGTTCAGCGTAGTGCCCACCACAGTGTACTCAACAGATGGCGGTAATGTTTTAGCGACGATGTTTTACAGTAAGAAATATTCAATGTGTTATGTCTGTTTGTCTGTGTAAGTTTCATAAACTCCAGATCGCGTCTACCCAAAATATCTCGAACTGGAACATTAGGTTGTCTACCTCTAGCCCGAAGGGAATTGTACAGCTCAGATCTGACTGCACGATGCTCAGCACAAGACCAAATAAGATGTCAGTAGTGTGCTTTGGTCAGAAATTTTATTGTTTTTGCTATGGTCATTCATGTCGGTTTGTCGGTGATGAAAGCTCTACGAAAGGTACTTTATCATAAACACGCAGTGAGCTACATTTGGTAATTATCAGTAATAAGAATTTGTAATATTTGTTGTTAAGATATTTCGATAAAAATACTCATATACTACAGCCGCTGAATTGTTTTCTGGCTACACTGAACCAAATCATCCTCCATTAATAGAATGAAACATCATTCAGTTGCATCCAATTTCAATTTGTCTGAAAACCGTATGACAAAATCAGCCGGATGATTTTCTATTCGGAAACGTGTGATGCTCTTTTGATTGGTGAATGAATATTGACATGAACCATTGCCCAGAATGTACCATTCCCCAGAAAAGATGATGAAATTAGTAATTTTCACTTTTTTTTTTACTATTGATAATACACTATGTTTACTTTAATGGAACTATGTATTCATCATTCCAACCCATTTTTTAGCTCTTTATAAAATGACAACCTTCAAGTTTTCGAGCACTTCGTTCATCATTTAATAAGTCAAAGGGTCTATCAACAATCAATACGAAACTAACGATTTTAAATTGGCTCACTACTTGACTACACAGCAAAAAAAGTTGTTGAATATTACATCGAAACTGCTGCAACCAGGTCAATCCATCGGTTGTGTAATATCACATTATACGGTGTACATCAATTTTGCGAACAAAATTACATCCATTGATGTAATTTTGTATCTGCTTTTTGCTATTACATCATTATTTCATACATCAGCTTGAATTACGTTGATCGATATTACAATTTTTTTTGCTGTGTAGCCTATTGGTCCCAAGCAAACGATTAACGTACCCTATTCTAGTTGAAATTCTATTACTACACTATGTTTGTTTTGATTCGCTATGAAAGTTTGACAGATAACATCAGGGGTGTGTGGATTCATGCAGAACATGCAGGGGTGAGTGAAATAGCTTGGGACTGCTTGGGACCGTTGTTCTGGTATTGAGTGAGCCAAACATAATAATGATTTTCTTCGGGACCCAGTGGTCTTAGAGTTACCTCTATGGGTCTATTATGCAATCCAATTCAACCAGTCGGAAACTGTTAAACCTTATCGAAGAATTGTTCGACCTGAGTTGAAGAATTTCTCGTGATGGATTAAAAAATCGGTGCATGGAACGTTGAACTACCGACTACAAATTTATAACATTATTCCACTCGTTATTATCCCAAATGGTCATAGCGAAAAGCTATTGATTATATATTTTCCTTATATATTAAAAGAAGGGAATATTCCCTTCTTTATAATACATCCAAAGAATTAATTATTTTCTCTTTTATATATTCAAAGAAGGGAATATTCCCTTCTTTATCGTTTATCCAAAGAATTAATTATTTCCTTTTCTTATATTTTCAAAGAAAGGAATATTCCCTCCTTTATCATATATTTAGCAAATTAATGATGTTTTCTTTTATATATTCAAAGAAGGGAATATTCCCTTCTTTATCGTATATCCAAAGAATAAATTCTTTCTTTTTGTGATATTTTCAAAGAAGGGAATATTCCCTTCTTTTTTATATTATTTACATATTTAAAGTAGGGAATATTCCATTCTTTATCGTATATCCAAAGAATTAATGATTTCCTTTTCTTAAATTTTCAAAGAACAGAGTATTCCCATCTTTATTATATATTTAACGAATTAATGATGTTCTCTTTTATATATTCAAAGAAGGGAATATTCCCTTCTTTATTGTATCCAGCTTTCCATGCTCGGTAATGGCGGCCTGTTTGTATGAATAAATGTATCCTTCACTGTGCTTTTTGACACTATCTGGATGTTCGAATTTCAACCCCTTCCCTTTCCCTCTCCCAGGAACAGAAGAAAATGGAACAACATACGCCCTCCAGTTAGTGTCAAAAAGCACAGTGAAGCATAAATTTATTCATACAAACAGGCCGCCATTACCGAGCATGGAAAGCTGGATATCCAAAGAATTAATTATTTCCTTTTGTTATATTTTCAAAGAAGGGAATATTCCCTTCTTTATCATTTATTTAACGAATTAATCATGTTCTCTTTCATATATTAAAGGAAGGGAATATTCCCATCTTTATCGTTTATCCAAAGAATTAATTATTTCCTTTTCTTATATTTTCAAAGAAGGGAATATTCCCTTCTTTATCATATATATTCTTTCTTTTTTGAATAACAAATACTCTTAAATGGGTAATATGTTTACTCATTTAATGGGTAGTCCATGGGACCTCGCATGGGACTACCTGTCTTCCTCGAAAATGCTTACCTTGTAGTCATTATTGGGTACACGGAGATGAAAAACAACCCAAAATTAAGTACTTTTCCCTCAATTCCGGGGTTCAGCCCAATAACCCAAATTTGAGTAAATCGCATATAGTAGTTTCCATTTAACACCAGCAAAAAAATTACCTACTCTTAAGTATATTCTACCCAAAATTAAGTTTAATTCACGCAAATTTGAGAATATGCAATTTACTCAAAAGTAGCTTATTGGGCTGAACTATATCGTTGGGTCGAATCTCTCGTTCCTTTTTTGACAACAATAACGAGTGCAAGTGAGAGGCTGAAGTCAATATTAAGTAAAAAGAACTCAAATTTTGGGTAGTATTTTTTCTCCGTGTATTTTGCGGTTACCGTGTAGTGACGTAATAACCATAGAGGTAACTCTAAGACTAGAAGGTTCTGAAATAACGTGCTCAACTTTTTGGCTCAGCTCTGGTACTCTCTTCGGTCCCAAGCTAATCGATTCACCCCTCGAAACATAGGAAAAACCAATAACTCCTCATTTTACCTGTCAAACTTTCATAGCGAATCAAAACAAACATTGCGTATTAGTAGAATTTCGACTAGAATGGGGTACGTTAATCGTTTGCTTGGGACCAATAGGCTAGTTAAGTAGTGAGCCAATTTAAAATCGTTAGATTCGTATTGATTGTTGTAATAACGTTTGCTTCAATCTAAGAGGAAGAGGTGACAATTGGCTTCTTCCTCTTTTATTTCTATCTCTATCTCTATCTTTATCTATCTCTATCTCTATCTTACGCACATGAAATCGGCCAATCAGGAGCTGGTTCACGTTTGACAGAAAAGTGGTTCATTTTCACCCCCGTTTTGTCACCTCTTCTCTTAGGTTTCAATCAACGTTTGCATAAGAAATTTAATATCGAATAGGTATAGAATTTCTGTATTAAACCAAAATTTATGAATTTCTTCTACTGAATGTTGAGATAATTTATTGATTGTTGTATTATCATACTGTATACGATGAATAAGCAGCCTGCCGATGAGTTTGTGCCTGTTTTCAAGAAAGGAGTTATCGTAAAAATACAGAACGCCAGCTGATATTTCCCGTAGAATTTACAAAAGAATATAGCCAAGCGCAATCATCATGCAAACATAGCCGAGGGGGACGACACATCTAAATCTCAATTCTGAATGCTCAAAAAATCTCACACTAGCGAATAAATCTTCGAAAAATCTTCTTTCATTTCTCGCATCTTCGTGCATCGCGTATCATCTTTTTGCAGGAAATCTTCAAAATCGTGATAAATCTTCTTTCTATCTACTCAGCGTACGTGCAACTAGCCACAGCAAAACACAATATTTCCTGCATCGTAGATAGAGTCGTCCCCCTCGAACATAGCTAGGATTTGCTGCACTTCATTTTAATTTCGCAAATTTACTTTCAAGTGTTATGACGTCGTGATCAGCCTCTCCCGCAATATTACCTTTTTCCCTCAACCAATACATACGTGAGGGCTAGATCTCAGTACCTTGTATAGATGAGATTGAGTCCCGTCGCCGTCAACGCAAATGTCAAACGTAAAAATACTGTGTTTGGTAAACAAGTATTATTATCGTTCGGCTTCTGAAGAATAAGGTTCGCTAAATTTGCATGGAACCTGCAGAATTATATTGCTAGTCTAGGAAGTATTTCAATCAGACAAATTACTGGATTCCGATTCTGTTCTGCACGTTCTGCATCAAGCTTAATCGGCAATAAATTTTCGCGTAAAGAACATCATGAGTAGCAGCTACTATTTCGCTATCGTTGGTCACAATGATAATCCGATCTTTGAAATGGAATTCATTAACGCCAATAAGGAAGCAAAGGTTAGTGGTGTATTAACAGAAATTCAAAGCTGAAATGTTTTCTCAACGAAATTTAAATGAGTCGGTATTGATAATGCACAGAATACTGAAAATGTGCACTAATGGGGTGTTTACATCTGTGCGGATTTGCTAGCTATAGTAGCCAACTAGCACGAATTTCAGTTGCTCGTGAAATCTCATACTGGTAGACGACGATGCCCTGTTTACATTATGCTGGCTACTTTTAGCACAGTGCTAGTACTAGCGCTGGCAATGCTAGAATGCATAGATGTAGACACCACATATAGGAGTTGGGAACTCGTAAATCAAAAATTCATTTAAAAAATTTAATTTTTTTTTACATGCCTAATGCCTTGTTCGACTCAATTCAGCCTCTTTCGTTATAACATGTTATAGCGCTATATTGATTGTGGTTTCTGTGTTGAAATGATTTGACAACGTTATAACCATAGAGGTAACTCTAAGACCACTGGGTCCCGAAGAAAATCATTATTATTTTTGGCTCACTCAGTACCAGAACAACGGTCCCAAGCAGTCCCAAGCTATTTCACTCACCCCTGCATGTTCTGCATGAATCCACACACCCCTGATGTTATCTGTCAAACTTTCATAGCGAATCAAAACAAACATAGTGTAGTAATAGAATTTCAACTAGAATAGGGTACGTTAATCGTTTGCTTGGGACCAATAGGCTACTAAAGTGGTGAGCCAATTTAAAATCTTTCATTACTTTACTTTACAATTTAAAATCGTTAGTTTCGTATTGATTGTTGTTATAACTCTGTAGTCTGAACCTCGGTCTGAACGTACTAAAAAGCCCTAATAAAAAATACCATAAACGAACGATAACATAAATGATAGAACTATTCCACAGATGGTTTGGATGATACAGCTAACACGTTAAACAAAATCATATAAAAATATTAGGGATATGAGGAACTTTATTGATGAATCAAAGTTAGCCCCAGTGGAGAATAGAAGAATTATGATAGTGATGATATTCTCAAACCATACCATATTATACTAGAGCAATCTTAGAATGAATTCATTTTGCGAACCATGTACCATAACCAGGGCCGTCTTAACTACCCTTGGGGTCCCTGGTCTATTTAATATCAATGTTCAAATTCTAGCAAATGAAATATAAATGCGACAATCCTTTTTCGTTAAAATTTCTTTTACTAACCTACCCTTATTTTGTCACTCATTTTAATATATCTTGAGTAGTTGCTGGTCGTCATTGAAATAAATATACTGAGGATTATCTCCACATCCGGGTAAAAAAATTCCAATAATTTGAACTTGTTAATAATTAGTTTGTAAAACTCATCTTCTTGTTACCATATCTGGCTTACTAAAACCCGAGGGGCACGCAATACAAAGAACCGGTGAGTTGAAGTTAAAATGCAATCAAAAGTACTTAAAGTAATTAATGCGTTTTGAAGTAGTACTGACGGTAATTAAAATTATCTATCCGTAATTAATGTAATTAAAAGTATTGAAAATGTAAGTAATGGACTTTAATTACGAAATTTCAACTGTAATTAATGGAGTTAAAAAGTAGTTAATGTTTTACATTGTGTAATTAATGTAATTCAAGCAGTAGTTAATGGAATTAATTTAATTACAGCCGTTGCCTGCGTTAGAGTTAAAGGTTATTGCGTGTCCCTAGGTTCTCATAAAAATGCCAAGATCACAGGTATAAAAATGAAGCTACATCATGTAGAATCGGAACCTACCTAACTAATAATAACCAAAGATTTAAGTAAAGTAAAGGAGCATCATCACATCACGTGTGATCTTGACATTTTTACCTAGGGGATGAGTACTTAAGGGGGTTAGATTTTGATAGGTGTTTAGTGGGAATGACACTGATGAAGGCTGCACGCTGTAGTCGAAATTATAGATACTATAGATTCCATAGATAAGCGGAGGAAAAGTATTATGTAGCCGAACGAACGGTCAGTTAGTGTAGTCAAACGAACATGACGTCATCAAGGTGTTGTTTGAGGGAGAAGTATTGTAATATTATGAGCACAAAACACGTTCCACACTCCACATTCCGATTTATTTCACGGACAACGGAAGAAGGAAAGATAAACTAAACCATTCCTCGATACATTGTTGCAAAGATTTGCTTAGCATTTTGAACTTTTACGCACGAAACAAAACAAATCTGCACAACGAAACACCCTATGATGACATGAGCGTTTTTCACGGATGCCAGTAACTTTTTGTGCCTCCGCTTATCTATGGAATCTATAGTATCTATAGTCGAAATACGTATCAATCATGGATATCAAAATTAATTAAGTGGAATTAATTGAAAGATAACCTTTTTTTGCTGTTTTATTAACGTGTTTGCAGTAGCGTTCCATTTTCATTTCAATTTCAAAGATTTAACATGGTAAATATGTCAAGAATTGCTAGAAATTCAACTTTTTAGAAAACTGTAAGGCCCCTTGGCGAGCAAGGGGCATTTGAGCTAAGGAAAGTGGCAATCAAATTTTCTCATCAGTTTCGACCAGTCAAGCGGATATATATAAATATTTAAAGACCATGTGTCAATGGCGGCCTGGTTTCAATGAGAATTATTCTAATTCCTTCCTTGCGGACATAAAGTAGTGCGCGTTATTTTCACGAAGCCATTCATTTTTTAAATCCCCGATTTTAATTTTTCTACCACCGTAGCAAAAACCAGATTTAAAGAAATGCTCATTGCGAAATAAAAGTTTTCTAAGAATTCAACCCCTATACCTCACCGTGCCAAATTTTAAAATCGTCATCACTTTCATAGTAATTCTTCTATTCTCCACAGGCCCACATCAAATGACAAAGTTTTCACTAGGCGTGTATACTATTTGCTTTCATTTCAGAAAGAGGACCATCGACATCTGAACCAGTTCATAGCCCATGCTGCTCTTGATCTGATCGATGAGCATAAATGGAAAACGAACAACACCTTCTTAAAATCTATCGACAAGTTTAACCAATGGTTCGTATCAGGATTTGTAACTGCATCCCATTTACGCTTCGTCATGGTGCATGATAATCGAAATGATGAAGGTATTAAAAGTTTCTTCAATGAAATGTACGAGACCTACATCAAACATTTGATGAATCCTTTCTACACTCCAAATACTCCGATCAAGTCTGCTAATTTCGAAAAAAAGGCTCAGTTGTATGGAAGAAAGTTTCTTGGCTCATAAAATTAAGCTCCGTTTCCATTTATCGCGGTTTGTTTGATGTCGTTCTTATGGGTTAAAGTAAAGAAAGGATAACGTTTATTTAAATACAAAAGCATATTTTGATTCTTTATTTGAAAGAAAACTTCTTTTCCTTTTCTTGTGGGATGGCAACCGAAATGTTAAAAACTCATAAATATTTTTATTAAATGTTGACCAAAAAGCTTAAGATGTGCTAGGGGAAATGTAGGCTCCGGCAATACCTTAACCTATTGTCGTCAGGGGGTAAATAAAGTCCTAGAGCACTCAAATTTGGCCAATAGATGCTCTGAAACACAATGTATCCACATGCTAAAATTGAGCTCTCAAGGACGTTGTTTACCCCCTGACGATAATAGGCCGAAGCCAACATTTCCCCTACGTGAAGTGCCATAATTTCAAGCGCCAATATTGTTTTATGAATTGTAAGATATTCTTAATTTATTAATCTCGTACGCTAGTTAATAATAATAATATCTACATTAGACCTGTTCATTTTAAATGAAATGTTCGGAATGTAACGGGTCAACCGTGATTACTGTTCGTCATGTTAATTTGAACTTTTGTGCGAATTTTCAGCAAAATCGGTGTTGATTTAGAGGTGCTTCTAGTTAATTTTATGTTTTCAAGGTAATTTACGGCTTATAATATTTGTATCTCGAGACTGAAACAACGAAAGCTGCTGTAACAACTTTCATAGCAAAGCTTAATGTGTTATCTACCAACTTTGTGGTCAAAGGTTGACTATTCGAAGTGATTTTATTGAATTTTCACTTAGTTTCATGCTCGAAGATATCTTAAAATGTGAAGAATTTTAAAGTATTTGTTCTACGAATTTTCCACCCATATGATATTAAAATGTGTAGTGTACGGCATAATGTTCCTCATATTGTTTTAGAAGTTTCGTTCCAACATAGTTTTCGTGTATATTTCATAGATTGAGAGATAAAAATCAGAAAAGAGGCCGTTTAGCTAAAATTCACAAGACAACAGAACCAATAAAGTCAATTAGATTGACAGAACATAGTTGCATTGCTTTTCAATGACGACCGATGACTGTTTCATTCAAGAGCAAATTTTCATTATGTCGTAAGTAACATTCGCACCAATCCGAGAAAAATAAAGTTTTGTTTTGATGACCGAAAAGTTATTCCTATTTCCAAGTAAACACATATAATCTCATAGTGATAGCAATGTTTCACATATTTAGCAGGGTTTTAATCATACAAATGCAAACCGCTAGCTTTCATGCTAAAAAATACTGGTTTTTGAGTCAAAAGTTATTATACGTCGTTTGGTGGCCCCTATTGTTACTTAAGTCAAAGTGTATTTACCAGGATATTCGGGAGAATTATCAATTACGTCTCCTTACGTGCAGCCCATTCATCATTTTAGGACTACCGAAATCATCTTAGCAACAAACAGTTCGATTTATTCACTTTAATAATGAGAAAGCGAAACGACGAACGTACACTTTTCACGGGTTTCTCAGCGCTGTTACTTAAGTCAAACGGCATCTCCATAGAAATTGGGTGACTTAAGTAACATCGAAAACTATTTTGATCGGAAGGTGATTACGTCAAAAAGCAATTTGACTGGCAAATAAATTTAAAAATGGGATTTGATCCTATATTCGGACAGTAGGGGAAACGCTCCTATAGTTGCGGTACGTTAGAAGCGTTAGGTTCCTACAGTTGTGCATGGAGACTCAATACACAACTATAGGAACCTAACGCTTCTAACGTACTGCAACTACAGGAGCGTTTACCCTATATCAAGAGCCACATGTAAAAAGGGCATACAAGCTTTTTGTAAACAAACCTTTGAAGGCCCTTTTCTCGCCAACCGAGGGTCACCAACGCAAACCAACAACATCATCGGGAAGGTGAATGCTTCCAATTACTGGTGATGTTGATGAATTGCGTTGGTGACGTATAGGTGGCGAGAAAAAGGCATAAGAAGTTTGTTTGCAAAAAGCTTGTATGCCCATTTCACATGTTGTTCTTGATATAGTGTAATAGCAGGAGAATCGATTGACACTGATAGCTCGACTTTGTTTACCTTTGTTACATTCGACGTAATGAAAATTTGCTCTTGCATTGATATATGATTTTTTCATAAATATGAATCCTCAGTAGACGTGTTTTTTTATCAAAGGCAAGTGTCACTCGAACCATAACAACAATTTATAAAATAACGAACATTTTGAATGGCTGCTGAATTATGCGATATGTAGCGATCACCTGAGTGGGATCCGCATCCAGCGATTTCACAAAATTCGCAATTTCTTCCATTGATGGTTTCGCCGATACATGTCGGAAGCTGAATCTTATCGTCAGTTTTATTTCCACCGACATTTTCACTAGTTGTTTACTTCCAAAGGGGCAACAGCAAAAGCGAATGAACATCAGGCACCGCAACAATGAGTTGCTATCGAAAAAACATACTATCACGTGACTTGCACCGAAATATAAACACAGTTGCTTGTGTCAAAAGCTACGGGCGAGCTGACGAACCAAGTTGGATTATTTTCAACTATTTTTTTAGAGTTGAACCAAATTTACTATATTAACAATAAGTTCACTTTTAGATTTTCCATACATCATGCAGAGGACAGAACCTTCCTGTTCGACACACCACCTAACGTCATTACAATATATTTGGTTGAAAACAATCCAATTATTTAGTTTACTTTTATTGTTATCGCGCGTTTTATTGACGTAGGACTACGTCTGTGATTTCTATATGGGGTACACTCTGTGAAAACAGAAAATGGAACATGTAACAAAATTATGATTTTTTTAAACGGTAATAACTCAGCTGCCCCTGAACCAATTTCAACAATTTTATCCCCATTCGATCAGAAATGTTTCGACGCATCTGTTAAATTTAAGACTTTATCATTTTTTAAATTGTCACTATTGAAAACTGCACGAATGTGCAACTTTTGCTATGATAATTAAAATTATCACCGATTGCCTGCGAAAAGCGATTTTCCTAACACAGATTTCAAAGTTGAATTCGATCCGGTCTCACCAAACGGTGTTTATTCAATCACCGCGTAGTGAGTGGTGATGTTCTCCAGTACACAACGAAAGGCTCCCCGCAAGCAGCTAAGATGAAATTAGGGCGTAACAGCTTTTGTAAACAATGACTTCTTTCGATGATGTCTTGAAAGTCAAGGCTCGCCCACGCAAATCAACATCAAAATCAGGTAGGATAAGGCTTCCCTTACCCGATGGTAATGTTGGTTTGCGTGGGCGTGCCTTGAATTCTTAAAAATCAACAAGAGAAGTCATTGTTTACAAAAGCTGTTACGCTTAATTCCAGATTTATCTAGATATGTTTAAATCTAACATACCATGTTCTTGAAGGCAACAGTGGGAGGTGCAATTTCAAAAACCAAAGTCGGTCGCGGCATGAAAGTGGTCTGATTTTGATCCAGAGAGAATGGATTTCAATACTTAATACGCCAATCGATAGGAATTTTTTCTACGAATCTGTTAAAATTAAGACTTTATCATTTTCAAAATGTCACAATTGAAAATTGCACGAATGTGCAACTGTTGTTATGATAATTAATTCCATCCGGTCTCACCGGGTGGTGAATTCCATCCGGTCTCACCGCGTGGTGAGTGGTGGCGTTCTCCAGTACACAACGAAAGGCTGCCTGCAAGCAGCGAGCTGTAGTCAACATGAGCATCCATACAAGGAGGAAGAAGCCGCACCGCTAATGATCAGAATCAGTAGATCTTCGTGAGTCGCTGCGGGCCATCTAAGTCAAGTGCGTTATACTTAAGAGTATAAACAGAGAGAACCCCGCTCAAATTCCTATTCCCACACAAAACACAAGCTTCTGCTGCAGTTAACAAATAGCCCTACGTCACCATTGCGTACAACCACATAGGGCTGTCCCTTGTAGTTTTTTTGCTTACTTCTATTGTACGAATGGTTTGGAAAAGTAGGTAGATCAGATCGGTAGAAATTTACTGCAATTAAATTCTCAATGCGCAACACAATTATGCAATTTATAATTGTGTTGCGCATTGAGAATTTAATTGCAGTAAATTTCTACCGATCTGATCTCATGGTATGCCTTTGGAACGCTAGGCATTTAAAATATTTTAAAATAATTCACTGAAGACTCAAACTTAAAGCTCGTAATTTGTTTTACCAACATGAGACATCATCATAGTATCGTAATTCGAATGCCCTCGATGATATTATAATGCTAGTATTTTCAATATTTTTTATTGCAAACACCAGGAGTTATATTCCCGGAATTCGCTATATAATTTAAAAAAACATGCTGGTTGATTCAACCAAAACAGGTTAGTCATTTCCAGCATTTCATTATTTATTTGAAGCTACAAAATAGTTGATTAAAACTTATTTTGTTTGGAACAAGTTGTGCAGTTTGTTTGAAATTATGATTATTTCTAGTTGTAAACCGAATTAAGGCTGAAAAGTGATCAAAAAGAACCTAAAATTTTAGTTATTTTCAAACAACACAATTTGCTGAAGTAAACCATAATTAATTTTTTTTATTTCTTAATTAAGAAGAAAATAAAACAGATTTTTTTATGTACAATCTTCAACATATAAATTTAGTTGAAGCATCCTAAAATATGGTTGTTTTCATGATACTTTTCTCTCCGTGTAGGTATAGATTGGCTGGTTACTCTGGGTATTTTTGCATCAATGAACCACAACGATTTTCACAATTTTACACATGACGAACACGGAGATGTCGGTAGGAATGTGCTTATTTCTAAAGGTGTTGTGTGGACAAACGATGAAGACAACGATAATTTGTGCTCAGTTAACGGTTTGATGGAGTTTATTATGCTACGATTAAAATCATCAAAGGATTATAACCCCCTAGTGTGCATGGTATTGAAAAAGAAACCCGTTTGTATCATAGGAGGATGATGCGATGTAAATGTGATCATTGATTATCATTTCCATACACGTCGAAGGGGCACAAGGATAATCCTTAGTTAGGGTTGTCTATCTAACACAACCCTTTATCT